TGTGTGTGTGGTTTTCACACAGCGTGTGGACATGTGCCAGTGTATGCACCTTGGCGGAAAATATCTGGCCTTTTCCAAATACAGATCCTCCATTATTTCTCCTGCTTTGGTCGCTTTGTTTGTTTTTCCAGGCTGCAAGACGAGGTATTCACATTTTGCACGTGTTCCCCAGCAAAAAAGTTTTCTAGGAAATCTCCAAGAGGAACCAGAAAAGGCTGACACTTTACACTTTTGCTTTGACAAATGATCAATTAATGGTAGCTGGTACAACTTTTTTGCTGTAGCCGATTTCAACGTGCTCTCAGCAGATTATTCTGCTCTCCGACACGTGATCATTTTTGATTTTATCTACACATGGATGCGCAGAAAGCATCTGCAATAAAGCGTTACAGTAGATCAAGGCGGATCAGTGAAAACAACTGGCGACGATGAACTCAAATACATAGATCATGAAGGTCTAGTAAGTTTCACCAAAGTGATCCGCAGAGATAAAGAAACGCACACTCACACCGTGTCACTGTCGCGTGCCGCTGCTCCTCAAATGCTGGGTTGAGTGCATTCACAGCGTGTTAAAAATGAGTGACGTACGACTACATGCACACACCGGGCCGAGCTCCTAACCGGCACCGTGCGCTGTGGTTAACCCCCTTTGTTTTTCATGCTTATTTAACGTGTATATCCTGAAGCAAAAGAGGTCAGACAGCCACTTTACAACGTGGCGCCCGATGACCCGTTTGGAACCGCTGAGTGGTCAAAACTACCAGGGGAGTGTCTGACATGGATATTAAATGGTCATGGGGCAGGGGGGGATTACAGGGGGGGCGCTTGCTTTATCCACTTAAAGAATGACAAGCGGTTGTTATAAAATACAGGGACTCGTTTTTTAAGGGCGAGAAGGACATAGAACGTCAGCTAGAAACAATCACATATTCACTTTTGTAGCTGACAGCCGGTCTGTTTCATCAAGCTGTCATGTGCTGTTCATCCCAGCGTTAAAAGGCTGATCTGTTGACTGACTTGTTTACTTAATGAGAAAGTGAGAGCCACACGTCACTCGTGTTTTGTTTAATGGCATATTTGCATGTGAAATGTGACTCCCTAGTCTGCACCCACTTTGTTTTTCGCTTTCTTCTGCCACTATATCATTAGAGATGAGCATCACCAGCGTCAGTGCCGTATGTTTAGGGATAGGTGCATGAGCTTTTGGAACAAACAAAAGGGAAATATACAGCAAAGTGGACCTAAAGCAAATAATTAACAATCAACTGAAATGCCTTTGATTTAGATGCAATTTGAATCTTCTAACATCCTTTTTAACTAAAATCTACAGTTCACTTTTCTCCCTTAAACTCAGTTCTTCACATAAAGGTTGTTTTCTTTTTCTAAAGACAACGGCATCCTGCTAAACACATAATACAATTAAACATAACATAATTAGAGCTGCCCGTGGCAACAGCTGAAAGACAATGAAGCCAGCTTTTCCATTCATAGTCACGTTGAATTTGTCAATAAGAGATAATAGTATTCTTTAGCCAATTTCATGTGTGAAATTGTAATAGTCAATATTTTGTCTCTGTACAATCTCCTGTTTTATATTCAATATTAAAAGAGCCGTCCGACCTGTTGAGGACCTTTTGCATCCCGCTCGGAGAACGAGCTCTGGGACGATTAGGTCGACCTTTGCATCTGCTTCTAATGGGTCGTTGCCCAGGATACCAGCATGTTTGTCATAACATCCATACTTTGGAAATGTAATTTCCCTAAATAAAGGAAACACATCCCCAGCTAGTAGTAAGTCACGAGTCTCCGGTTGGCCCGCCGAGGCTTCTCTCCTTTCCCCTTTCCCATCATTTCAACTTTGACGTTAGCAGATAACGATTTGAGCCTTTTGAAGGCGGCGGAGCGCTGCTCGTCTTTCCGCGCCGCTGCTCGTCTCGGGCTCGTACCTGACCTACTTCATGCCCCCCCAGCGAGGTCGACGTCCCCAGAGTGACGCCTGTGAGGAGGCCCTGATGGAGCCGTCCGGGTTGAAGCGCGCTGCTAATCTGCTGGCTTTGCCAGAACTATTTAACTCTGGTATTTATAGATCGGCGCAGGAGAGAATGTTACATTTTTCTCTTTTTTTCTGCCACAGCCAATCGGCGTGCCGCTCTTGTCTGATACTCCCGTGTCTATTTTATTTTCGGAGCTGTTAACAGTCCAGGGGGTTTAGTAAGCGAGACTAAAGACACGTTTTTATTCACACTATTTTTGACGAATATATTTGTGTGTTGTACTTTTAATTTAATTTTAAAGTAATTTCATAGCACTTGGACAAGCTCTTTAAATGTGGTGTGTAAATTTACTTAACTTGCACGACAATGATGCAATGATTAAATGAATAAGCTTCAAGTGAACTTGGGGTTTGTGTGACAGTTTGTGAGTGTGTGCGTCTGAGCGTAGTGTAGAGAACACGTTTTTGATTTTTTTATAAATTATTATGTTCTACTCAAGGAGCAACCTGTTTCCACTTTCTGAAGATTTCTCGCACTGTCCGTTCTGTTTTTGAATAAAGGGTTGAAAATGAATGCTTTTAAAAAATCTGATTAATTGAAAAAATAATCGACCGATTAATCGATTATCGAAATAATCATTAGTTGCAACCCCAGAATCGGTGCTTGCTAAATGAGGCCGAACATGAAAAAGGCCACGACCCTCTGGGGAGAGTCAAGTGAAAGTGGGGTTTCCTATCTTCACAGCGGGAGGCTTGTGTTTGTGACGGAGCAGTGTGTACACACACACACACACACACACACACACACAGAGAGACACGCACACGCTCGGCAGCCTTGGAGGCGGCCAGCGTGTCCTTGTGCTCGTCCAGTCAGCTGTGGACGGCGAGGTCTGAGTCAGACGGCTCAATTACCCGAGCAATTTGCCCCCGGGATCCGATGCTATCTCTGTCGTACACACTCGAAGCATATCTGCTCTGTTTGGGAAAGACCAGTGGGCCCTCGGGGGCCCTCGGTCCATTCAACATGATTACTACATTTGAATTTGAAAAAAATTGTGTTTAAAACATGGGCATTTTTTTTTCAAGGCCAAAAGCCGAGACACTGCAAATCCTCTCATCTGAGAAGCCATCGGTCATTTGAATCTATTAATGTCCCATTACTGTCGATTGACTTAGTATTCTGGCATGTGACTCACACAGCACGTGCTTTGTTTCTTGATTTTTTTTCATATTAATGTCATCGGGAAACATTGCAGTAATAATGCTCTCCCTAAGGACCAGCATGGATGCTGCAAACCTTTTAATAAATTAAGGATGACAAATATTCACGTGCAGCACATGCCCCCCCCCCCCTCCTGTGTTCTCCCAGACTGGCACTGCCCACCACAAAACAATTAAAGATGGACAAACTAAAACCGTTCATTTAAAAAATCCCCTAAAAGAAACACTTCTTCTGACGACGCTGCTTTACAAGTCAGCTTCAGTGATTTTTCTGGCTCTTGTTCAGCACATTTGTGACCCGACGCGTTTTTTGTTTCATTTCATACGTTTTCAGACGGATCCTAATGAGAATCGAAGCCGTCTTTGATGTGGGTGTCTGAGAGCACGACTCCCACGGTGCCTGGATCTCTTTATAATTAACCGCTCCCACCGAGAGCTTGTTTGGCGTCGGCGTTCTTTAAAATTAATAATGAGCCTCGATGCTCTTTGAACAAAAGGTGGCCGGGGCTTATTTGTTTTTAAAGGCCCCATCACGCCTCGCTTCACTGCGAGCGCTCCCTGTTCACCCCAAAGTCCCGGGGCTTTCAGATATTGACGTCCAATCATCAAGCGGCTCACGTCATACTGAGCCAGCCCAGTCCGTTTTTTTGTTTAATTTTTAATTTTATTCCTCTTGTTTTGATCCCGCAGCTCCTGTCAGTCAAAGTGTGAGACCCGAGGCTCGGGATTCTGGCTGCACCGCCAGCTAATCTATATGCTAATGAGAAGATGATAATCAATGAGGATCATGCACGGTTGGCCCCAATCAATACCACATGTGCACCAGCGAACGGTTCAAACGGCTACATTTCATCCAGCCAGACGGTTGGGTGGCGCGGCAGAGCACAAGTATGCCGTCATCCCCTGGTTTTATCCACCGTATGTCACATGAATGAATTCCGCTGTTGTTTAGAGAGAGGCTCGGATGCGCCGCAAAAGCCGTCCCATTTCAACCTTAGGGAGACGATTGCAATTTTGTAGTCTCATTGTTTAGCATTTGATTTCCGTAAGCGCCACGAGAAGGTGGCTTTTGATGCTTTCCTGCTGCTGCTTAATGGTGCGGGGAGGTAACGTGCGGTAGCTGGGTCGTGTGTTGTCTACCTCGCAGGCAATTACTGGGTCATTTTATTTATTTCATCCCAAAATTGATGATGATGATTGTCCCGCTAGTTCGATGATGGGTTCACTGCTCAGACCCCGAGCCACTGCTCCCATCCATTGCTGAGTGTTATGGTAGAAAATTGTCCCACTTACTGCTGCCACTTACTCACACTTCTCCTGTCAAGCCTCAAATGGGAGTAACAGAGTTTTCTCTTTTCAGCCGTCCAGACTAAACAAAATAAAGCATACGCCAGTCTTTACCTTGGATTTAACCCAAAAGGTGAAAGCAAGTCCACCTTATGTTGGAGGGTTTAAGCATCCTAAAAAAACAAAAAACAGACAAGCACCATCATTCAGACAGCAGCAACGGGGGAGGGGAAGGACCGGGTGAAATCATTACCATCATCTTCATTAGAGAGGATCCCGCTGACCAATGAGCACGCTGCTCTGCACGGGGATTCCGTAGGCACCCCGTTGGCTGTCGCTAGGATACCAAATAATCAGGAGGCGGCCCGTGGCCTGGTTGGTGGAGTGGAGTGTTGATGCTGGAACGAAGAGCCTCGCTGTGTGTTGGGGGGTAGAAAGGTGCTGTGTTTTTTTGGGGGGTGGGTGGGCGAGGGGGCGTGTGGGAAACGGCGAGGAAACACGCTTGCTTTCGCACGCGCGCTCGCTCATTCAGTCGGTCGGGCAGACAAAGAGGAGCAGCATCCTGCAGGAGGACCGCACGCTCCCGGGGGATGGGGCATCATACCCCTGCGTCGCGTTGGGGGGGCCGGAGGAGGTAGGAGCACCAGGGTTAGGGGGCTTTGTCTCAGCAGCAGAGAGCCCCCTTCACATGCATGCACACACACACACACACACACACACACACAATTGTCAGGATCTGATGGCTATTAAACCCATTAGCACACATCACTCGGTTCGCGTGGCGCTGGAGGACCGATGGAGGCTGCGGCACTTTCTGCCGGGGATCTCGGCTCAGCAGAGACAGAAAGACGGTCCGTCCGGCGGCGTCCTCACGGCTCTCACCCCCCCCCCCCCCGAAGACACAAATCAGGCTGGGGCTTCTTGCTGGGGGTGTAGCGTCAGCATGAGTAGACCCATATGTCCTCTTGTGAGGTGTTGTGATGCTGCTGACTGGCTGCTTTGATGTGTTTGGCTTCTCCACTTTTCCATGGACCATCTCACAAGCCATGATTGTAGATGTGGAAGTGGGGTTAAGGATTGTGTGTGTGTGGGGGGTGGAGGAGGGGGGGGGTGTCTCTATTGCATCTCTTCACTGATGGATGGCTGACTGCTCTCTGAATGAAGGCCAGAGGGGATTCCCTCCGCTCTGCTCATCTAATGCCGGCACACTGGCAGCGCCGCTGCTTTGTTTACAACCCGAGAGTCTTACAGAGATCAACTTTTCACACTCACGGATGAACGCGAACCCACCGATTCTTTTGGTTCTAGAGGATTTACACCTGGTTTTAGAAGATCTATTTCTGCCAAGTCGGATGTTGGTTTGGTTTGGTCTTAATATTGATGTTTTCTTTAAAGCCTCCTAGTTTCAGCAAGGGACCCCAGGCCTCTCAAAGCAAATTTTATTTAAATCATGTTAATAATGATCTAAATGCCTAATTCATGAGCAGCCATAGTTTACTTTTAAAGCCCAATTCTATAAATAAAAGGGCAAACTAACAAATGATAAAGTCCTCTCCTTTTGCCCTGCAGGGGTTTGTTCCCTCAGAAATTCAGGGCTCGTCTGCTTTGGCCATTTGAAAGAATAACATTTGGTTTAGTGAGAGTTCACCGTGTTCCCAAGTCTGCTTTGTGGCGTAAGTGGGCTGTAGAGCCCTGCTTTGGCCCCGGCCCCTAATCCGTTCAATAGAATAATGAGGAGGAGGAGGAGCAGCAGGAGGAAATAGCTTAAGAAATGCAACATGGCGGCAGCACTGCTCCTTATTTAATTACTTCCATCACACCCTCTTTCCACTTTAAGCCATTTAAAATCCTCAACCTGCTCACTCAACCTTCACCCCTCACTTGCTGAGACGGCGTTACAGCCCCCCTCCCTTAACTTAATGCTCACACCTCTAACCTCAAGGCTAGAAATTCCATCCTCCCCGTTTTGGCCTCCTATTTTCAGCTGTTACATCAGCTGTCATGCCGCGTAAATCCCCCGTCCCGTACACACTCATTAATCCCACCATCATCTCAACCCCCGAGCTGAGCTCTGCTTTGATCAAAGACCTCTGGACTTTCTCTGTATTCTTAGAACAGAACTCCTCCCGTCCTCTTCGCCTCTACTCACCTGTCATGTCCCTCCGTCTCGGCGCGCTGAAGCTCTTCGTCCGGTGCTGTTGGATAGCAGTTCATCTTGTGAACTTTGTTGTTAAGAAGGAGACTAGACTCTTTGAGAGAGTCAATCAAGCCTTCACATAAAAAAGGACGTTTATTTGGTTGTTTGCTTTGATGGGTGTGAGTTTAGTCACAGCCCCTGCTGCCCCATCGAGCACTAAACCTGTGTTCCTCCACTTTTTATGATGTCATTTCGAGAGGCCACTGATGTCTGCCAGCCGCTCTGCCTTGTATGCAAATTCCCCGGGTTTCATTAGCCTGGGCATTCTTCTGCGTTGCCTCATAGCAGCTCGGTTGTCTGTTGGCTGACTTTTTTTTTTTTTTTTTTTTTGGAGAATGAGGTCAGTCTTTGTTTAGGCCTCGTGTTTCACACACTGTGATCACAAACCTGTCTGTTTGTGATCACAGTGCAGGACTCGTGGGCTCCTAAATTTAGACTTTATATTCCTGCTATGAAAACAATCTACCAGCTGATACTCGTCCCGCTGCAGAACTTTGCTATTTATTGCAGTCAGTATCTTAAACCCTTAGTTTAAAAAACAGATATTAAGGTTGATTATGTATCTTAACATCTGTTTTCAAAAAGTCTAGTATCTGAGTCAAAAAAAGAAAAAACACAAGCTATTTAAATGGAGAACCCTGCATGTTTTTTTCTTTGTTCCGTGGCCTTTTAATAAACAACAAATTCAATCCACAACTTGAGAGGACGGTTTGCAGATTAATACAGCGTAATAATATTCGTTAGCTGCAGCTCTGCACACTCACTTCCTTTGTGATTTCTTTATCAGATCGAGTCTCTTGCATCTTGTGTTGCAGGTGTCACATTTCCTCAGCGTTGCCTCTTCATGTTCACATGTAGTTCTGCTTCTGCTACCGAGTACCGTTGTTTCCTCGCTTCTACTTTGCATTCAGTTCTTCTAATCTTTTGAAACAAATACAGTTCCTCGTGCTGCAGGCTCCAAAGGGCCTACACGCAATACGGCAGCGTTCTCATGCACCCTGTACTCCTCCTCAGGCACAGGAGAGCCATTCAGAAGAGCCGGGGGTCAAAGGTGAGACGAGCAGAGGGCACCATGGAGAGCGAGCCCGGGGCCCACGCTGCCGCCGCCAACAGCGCCGCCGCCGCCACCGTCAACAGCGCCGCCTCCAGCAGCACCACCGCTGCCAGCAGTAGCAGCACCTCCAGCAACGCTGCTGCTGCTGCTACTTCTACCACTTCCAGCGGCAGTAGTATTACCAACAGTAGCGCCAGCAGCAGCACTACAGCAGGGAGACAGGCCGCGCCACAGATATCGGTTTACAGCGGGATGCCCGATCGGCAAACCGTGCAGGTGAGCTTCTTGTGTTTGTGCATCTGGGTATTTGTGTATACACGTGTGTGTGACAGGCGCCATAAGTGTGCTTTGCTCTGCCGCCCTCTGTTGGTGCAGCGCCACATGCATCAGGCGAGGTGCCATTTACTGATCGTAAATGAGTGTTATTAACGTGTCGCTGTAGGAATCTCTGAAGGATCTGAAGAGGAAGGAATGCTTCTTGTGCCCGAGTGTCGCTGACCCTTTTGACGCCGGGATGAGTCTCAATGAGAGGCTTTTGACTTGACTTTGCTTCTCGTCTATTGTTCCCCCCGGCAGCCCCTCTGAGCACAAAGGGTCGCGGCTCATTTATGAGCAGCGGGAGTCGTGTCTGCTACCAATTCAACAGCCCTTCTTCAAGGAGATGTTTTGTGACGGACCACAGGTCAACGTCCTCTCTGGTTACTGGGCAACCAGGAAGAGGGCACTTTCAGGGAGTTATTTGGGAGGTTTAGCTCTGCTGTAAGGAAGGAGGGTCCTGCAGACAATGGTAGAGGGAACCGGTTTTATTTAGCAATCACGCGCTTTTGAGGAGAGGAGATTCTCTCCCCGTCAGACGGCATTTACCGAATTCAGATTCACCGTCTAGGATTTGTGTTGCATCGCATAACCAGAGCCTTCTGACCTCCCCCGCAGGTGTTCCAGCAGGCGCTGCACAGGCCGAACACGGCGGCGCAGTACCTGCAGCAGATGTACGCCGCTCAGCAGCAGCACCTGATGTTGCAAACTCTCCAGCAGCAGCACAGCCTCAGCGCGGCTCAGCTGCAGAGCCTGGCCACCGCGCAGCAGGTCAGCAAGCATGGAAGAACCATTCTCCCCTCCCCCCCGCGGCCAGACCTCCGAGACACGTTTTTCGGGAAATTGTCCATTATTTTCTCTTCTTCTTCTGCGATAGGCCAGTATCGCGGCGGGCCGACAAAGCTCTTCACAGAACGGCACTTCCTCCCAGCAAACAGCATCCACTCAGGCGACGGTAGGGGCCGCTTTTAAGTGTCGGGTGCGTCTCCTAAGAGCCCCCGGGGTTAAACTTCTCTCTGTCCATTAGATCATCATGGAACTAAGTAGATTTTAGCCCCGAGATGCTTCCAGGAAACGTGGCGCCGCGCTAGCTGCGCTACTTCTGTTTTGGGAGAAACTTAAGTGCATGTTGCTAACGTCTTCTGGATCTTATGTCTTTGGTTTTCTTACGTCTTATTTTCCTGGTCACTTTTCTCCCCCCCCCCCCCGCAGATAAACCTGACAACCTCCCCGGCTGCAGCACAGCTGATCAGCCGGGCCCAGAGCATCAGCTCGACCCCCACCAGTATTTCCCAGCATGCTGTGCTACTGGGCAGCCCATCCAGCCCCACGTTCACCGCCAGCCAGGCACAGATGTACCTGCGCGCACAGATGGTGAGAAGGCGGCGTGGCACATTTACATGAGGAAATGCACATGCATGCACATGCATGCTCAGAAAATAACGCTTTTCTATAAAACGTATTGTAGTATATTTGATTTTATTGGCCTATTTTGTCGCTGGTTGTCACTGGCCATCACTTGCGTTTGCTCTCCAGGCGCAGCAGAACAACCTCGTGCAGGTGGCTAGAAGTCTGGGCCGGGCTGTTCCTCTGTCCCCGCAGCTCATCTTCACTCCAACAGCCACAGTGACGGCCGTTCAGTCCGAGAGCTCCACGCAGACCTCCTCACAGGTCGGTCACAAAAATTGAAGTATCGTTACAAACTCGTACATCTGCATTCATTTCCTAATAAACACAGTCCTGACATTTTGTCTCCGTCCCTTTTAACCCACTTAATCGCTCATCCCCCATCACTCTGTCTCTTCAAGAATCAGGTCCAGAATCTGGCCATCCGTGGCCAGCAGGGGGCGACCTCGTCCTCCTCTCAGACTCAGACCCTGCAGGCTCTCAGTCTGAAGCAGAGCCCTGTGCCCATCCAGCCCGCCTCGCTGACCAAGAACCCCGGCCAAGCGCCGCAGGCCTCCGCGGGAGGGAAGGCCGCCTCCTCCTCCTCCGACGGCTCATTTGAAGCGGGCAGGAAGGGCGACGGCGCGGCGGTCACAGAAGCCCGAGCCATAAACATGAGCCGCAGCGTCACCGGCATCAGCGCTCAGCCCCTGATGGCTCCAGGTAAGCAGAGTCCAGAAGGTCATCGCCGACAGGTTCAACCCCCATGTTACATATCTAAACGTCTCAACACGTGCTGGACCGGTAACAGGCATCCACGATTTCCAGATAGACCGTCCCCATGACTTAGCTGATGACTATAATCGCTCATAATACCTGCTGAACACGGCTGCAGACTCTTCTTGGGGCAGCTGAGCGCCTCCACTGGTTACAAAGGAGTAAATGATGATTGATGATATTTTCTGGAGAGACACCGACACTGGATCCTCAAGAGGAGATTGATAAGTGTTAAATTAAAAGTGCAGAATTTCCTTCCAGCGGCATTATGCTTCTTTTCTTATACAGATGTTGTACATTTATTTAACCCTTGAAATCGACGTGGGGGCTCCAGGCAGCTGCCACTTATCCAGGAGAAATGTGCTCTTGTGTTTATCGTAAGCTGAGAGGAATCTCCTGCACCAGAAACCTCTTCCCTCAGTAAAAGGGGGAAACCAGCCGTGTTCAAGTCTGTTGGTCTGTGTCTGCAACAGTTGAGCTGCTTTGAGAATCTGAAGCGGTGAAAGTCACACTGCCACACTTCACCACCTATTATGATATCCAAACTCGGCTCTTTCCTCCTTGTACCCGTTCAAGCTGATTAAACTGCATTGAGTTTTTTTGCAGGGTGAGACCCTTCTGATGCATTATACCGTTTAGATACAGTTTACAGATTTTTTGTAAATGTGTGTGTGGGGGGGGGGAGTTGGGATTATTGGAGCGTGTCAGTTCACAACCGTGTCTTGCTTTGCTGCGGTAATGGATTCACATATAATGAAAGGGAGGATGGAAGCTGAGAATCTGGCTGTACGCTGTCTGGGAAGAATTGACATTGGTTGCCATAGCAGCAGGTCATGAGGGACAGGTGTGCACATGAGATGCCGGGGAGTTAATACACTGTGGATGTGCAGAACGGAGAGGCCGTATGGAGGTCTGATGGGATTCAGATTAGAATAACAGCTTTGATTCGACTGGCGGGGTCGTCAGGCAAATGACTGCGATTCTTATTATAGCCAGTTTTGGCCGATCGTCTCCGTTACTTTGAAACACACCGAGAATAGGATTTGGATCGGAAACACAATGTCACTGGTTTTTTGCAGTAGGCGTTTGTCATCACTTTTGTGCAAAAAAACAAGAACAAACTAAAAAAAACACACACAAAAACCAGCAAGGAATCTCCAAAACAACCAGTATTTATTTAGCTGCTATCACCTACTGTTTCACTTGATAAATTATTAGAAGAATTAAAGAAAGCACACGTTAACTTTAACTCTTCAAAAGTCAATGTCAACTCCTAATCCACCATATATTTTATATTCTAATCAATATTCTTTACTCCACTCCTCTTGTTGATCCGATATCTCTGATATATAGCGTCCCTGTAGCTTGTGCTAAAATACCGATGTATATATATATATATAAAATACCGATATATATATATATATATATATATATATATATATGTGCTTGATTTGGTTTTCTAGTGGTGTGTGAAGAATGTGTTTGGCGAACGTGAGCCGGAGCAGCAGCAGCAGCGAGGGAGCTCGCGGACTCTCCGGGAGTTTCCAGTGATACTGAACCATCAGGAGAGATTAGTGCAACAACACGCAGATCTACGCCCACTCATTGCAGAGGGGGTGTGGAGACCACATACGTAGCATTCTATGATCACGTGTGTGTGGGAGGCGGCTGGTCTTTTCGGCTCTTATTGGCAACACTGAATAGAATTGAAATGAATTCCTCATGTCTTCGGGTCCTTCCAGGACCTTTCTGTGGTCCTCGTTAGGGGCTTGAGGAAGTCATCAGGACTCGCAGGGACGGCTGGTGACTGTTCACGGTTCTTTGCATTTGGCCTCGTGTGGTAGTTTTAAATCATTTTGTATTTAATATTATTGATTTGTCTGATGCCCAAATTTACAAGCACATATATATCCGTATTAACCATGAAAAAGGTCATGCGAGTGCTTTTATCACTGTTCAATGTTGAATGTTTGAGCGTCACTACACGGTCCACCTAATATTTATATTTGTTGAGAAATTATTTATTACAGAAAAAACTGGGGGGGAAATACAAAAAGAATATTCTAATTAATAGCACTATGAAGAGGCCGTAATGGTTATTTAGGTAGGTGCTATAGGCCAACATCTCGGATTCCCCATCACAGGTGCATATTTAACCTACACTAAATATAAAAAATAGTTTTTTCTACTCGGCATCTCCTGCAGCCTCGAGGGGAATAATGACCTTCTCTGTAGAAGCGTCTCTTTCACAGCCTGCGGGTGATGCCTCACAGGGAAACTTTACAACCAGCTGGACCCTGTCCCACACAGAACATCACAAAGAGAACCGTGGGCGGGGATGAGAAGTCCACCTCCTTGTTCACACGACTCGTAGAGCAGTAAGAATGAGTGCATTAGTGATGAAAGGGTGACCCGGACTGTCTGCCTCGCGCGTTGCGCTCAGCCTCGGGCTTCTTCCGCTGAGCCACTCTCCCACTCAGACGGGATTGTCTCACTTGCTGCGGCGGGGCAGGTTACCGAGGTCACGATGTGTTTGTAGCCCCGCTGGCACCGACGGACCATTGTGAAGCAATTTGTGAATGATGGTCTCCCGGAGTCAAGAGCTCTTACTGCTTCATCCGGTGGACGTGAGGAGCTCAGGTGAAGGGAAAGCTACCAAATGAGCTTGTCGGTGCAGACGCAGACATGTTGGAGTGGAGAGTTTTGAGTATTTTTAATTATATATAAGCATCACTGTTTGCCAAATGTAACCTTTTTCATAGAGGACGATGTTTGAGACTAACGTAATCTCTGTTGCACATTTTGCTTTACTTACAAATTCATCTGAAAAGTGTTGTCACACAATGAAGGGGCAGACCCTCAAAGGTGGTTGTCAGCAAAGATACGCCATTGATCATAACATAAAACATAGAAACATAGAGATAAAAGCTGTGCATTAGTTGTTTGCGGATGAATTTTCCGGTTCAAGTCAAATTCGTTCCTTTTGTTTCAGCACTATTGATCAAAAGGTCAGAAATTGCAATTTTATAAATTATTACATTTCAAATCTAAAATATAACTAATTTAACTCAAGTAACCTGTGAGGAGTGTTTATCAGCTGATTTATGCAAAGTCATCAAAAGTCAAATCAAAAGGAAGGCCACACCGATGGTGCTTGGCTTGTTCTCATGTGTCTGTGGCCACATTACCATAAACGATCAGAGAGGAACGTAGATGAATAAGAGTCTTCCACGCCTGCATTTAAAGGTAAATCTGCTGCGAACACACCGGTGTCATGAAATAAAAGCGATTAATCTTGTCGTTCCAGCATACACGCACATCCAGCCACATTCCCTGGTGCAGCAGCACAAGCAGCAGCAGCAGCAGTTTGTGGTCCATCAGAGTCCAGCTTCCCAGAGGGCGGCGGGCCAGCTGCTGCAGACCGCCTCCATTCAACCATCGCAGCACCCGGTGCCCGTCCTGCCCAAACCGGCTCCCCACCAGCCCGCCATGCCCAGCCAGCAGGCCACCATCTTCCACTCCACCATCAGCCCGCACGCCCTGCACTCCTCCCTCAACCACGCCAAAGCTCAGCCCGTCCAGCTCACCGCCATCAACCTTCAGATCCATCCCACGGTGAGTTTGTCCGTCGAACGAAGGAGCGTTTTTGGTAACGGGACAGTTAAAAGGGCACAGATGGGTTCGGGTGTGAAAGCAGAAAGTTGTTAACTGTATCAAAGTTGTTCGTTTTTACTGCCGACGTGCAGGTTTCCCAGATGATGCGTCCGACTCGCTCTGGTAATCCCCTGACTTTTGGGACAGGAGTAGCATGACGTTGACACTGCTGCTTCTGAGTTACACGTCTTAAACGCATTGAATGAACCATCATGCCCCCCCAACAGGATACTTTGTTGTTGTTTTTTTGTAAAGAATATAATCTAATATATATCCAGAGGTTAGATATAGGAGAGTATCTCTCTTCCAGAATTGCTTATTTTATATTAATTTATTGTTTTTGTCAACCATTTGTTTCCAAAGGAACATGACGTTCAGTCCTACTTAACAAGATCTCACTGCTCACATTCACATTTTTTGTGGTAGCTACTACTCCAAGACATACATGCTGATGGGATTACCGCTGTAATACTTTCCCACTGGCGTAATACTTTCCCACTGGCGAGATAATTCCCAAGCCTCGTTTGTACCGTTTGAGTCACTGACCTTAAACGTGCCCGAGCCGTCTCAGATTTCTCATGTTTCCCCTCCGTCCTCTCTCTCTCTCTCTCTCTCGTCCCAGCCCTCCCGACAGGTTCAGGACTGCAAAGATAAGCCGACCTCGCTGGTGGTCCGGGAGACGTGTCCGGCCCCCGCCCCGCAGCCGCAGCCGCCGCCACAGCCGCCGCCGCCGCCGCAGCAGCAGCAGCAGCAGCCTGCACCATCGCCATCGCAACCCACCAAACCGGCCGAGCAGCCCAAGCTCCCTCCGGCCGCGCCAGCTGTTCGGCCACAAGGTAACGGCTCGCCCTGGTCTGAGTGGGCCGAACGTTTAAAAGCCACATCAGGAGCCCTGAACGTTAACGCCGATATAAGCAGCCTCATAACGTGACTGCATCCGTGTCATTATTTTGTTGCCAATGAACAATATTGGAAACAATTGGTTCACTGCGGGGGGGTTCAGACCGACACCCATAATGCAGTGGGGCCAATGTCTACATGTTTATGGGGGGGTGAGGTCTAAAGATGGATCAGAAGAATCACCGTTTCTAAACTTTGGACATGCTGCTTTGTTTTGTTAGTTGTCTGCCAGGTGATTTGGATGAAAGCGGTTAAGTACGTCCGTGTCACGCAGCAGCTATTCTCTTCTGGCTGGACATTAAATATGGACTCGGATCAGTTTCTATTCTTCTTCTATTATGTTGTGTTACTCGTAAAAATGAAACACCGTGTCCACCACAAGTGGTGGTTTGGTGGACAGAGAGTTTGGTGTTATGCTCAGACCACCACAGACGGAAACTATTTCAATCCACTGTCTGTGGGGGCCGATGACGACGGGCACGAAAGTTCAGCGCTTTCCTTTTACGGAAAATTTAACAAAGGCAGTTTTTCAGTCCATTTGTACTTACTGAGCATTATTTCTTCAGACTCCCAGGTTTTACCATCTGACACTTCTGTCCCTTGTCTTCGAGTATTCAAGTGGTGGTGTAATTGTTTAGATCGTGTTTATTCACATCAGCACTGCGGGCAAAAACGCAGCCGCCCCATTGGAGTGGAGCCTCGCTCAGACTCCCAGGTCGAACCATGTGGCAGCTGAGCGGCACGCTAACGCTAGCACGCTAACATGCTAGTTAGCGTGCTAGCGTTAGCGTGTCAGCGTGGGAGGAAACGGAGGCGGATCCGGGTTTCAAAGCTGATCTTTAGCGGCGCTGCAGCTCAGACGCGACCTCAACTTCAAGCAGCAGCTGCCGCAGGTCTGTCTGCGCGCGCGCGTGGTGGATCTTAACAACAAAAACAACAACAACAACACTACGTGCAAAGCCGCACATGTTTTCTCCGTGACCACGGCGGAAGTTGGTAAGAGATCCGATTCCACGGCGAACTGTCACGACGCGTCTACTTTTGCTTCGTGGGGTTTGAGAGGAATGACGAGACGTCGTGGATCGATCCCGCGATCGAACCGCGACGCCCCGTGGATGTTACGTCACTGTTTGTTGTTGATCGGCTGGGCGGCAGCCGGTCTCTGCTGAGGTCCAGCTGTTGTCAGACCAGCTCATTTAAATCCGCAGCTTGAAACCGCTGGATGCTGTTTGCATGTCGCTATAAGTGTCTCCTTTTGAATAATAGGACTTCAGAAAGCTTCTTACTGGGATTATTAAGTAAATGCTAACTAAAAGTTTTAGCTGAATCAATTTAAAAGTACATGTGGTGATTTAAGGTGGATTTACCCTCTTAGATTCTGCCTTGTTCGTGTACATTTCTTCATTAAAATGTGATTTACAACTGCAGCAAATTATTCATTTCATTTAGTTAAGATTCAGTTTACCATCACAAATGTTTTTTTCTATTCAAAGTTTAAAACTGGCTCATTACCTTCCTGATTAATTGCCTATAAAATGTCTCAAGACGGCGTACTTATCCAAAGCAAAAACCTTTCCCCATGTTTGTTTTTGTGACCAATCTTGCAGAACCTCAAAACAGTTTCCTACGGGATGTGACAATGTCAATCAACTGCTTAAAAAACAGCAATTAATGAACCACTATTATTCTTCACACGTCTGAGCGGCTCTCTCGTGCACTGACATCGACGGCGCTGTGCTCGTTTCTCTCCCAGCGGGAGGGGCCTCGACCAAGAGGCCGACCGCCACACCTGGGACGCCGCCCCGGGCCATGACCTCGGGGACCGAGAGCGAGGCGCCCGCCCTGACGGGCAGCACGCCGCAGAACGGGGAGATCAAGCCGCCGCAGGCCATCGTCAAGCCCCAGGTCCTCACGCACGTCATCGAGGGCTTCGTCATCCAGGAGGGGGCCGAGCCGTTCCCAGTGTGTGTAAGTGCCCCCCCCCCCCCCCCCTCAACCCCCCCACACTCCCCGTCTCCGCGTTACCAGCAGCGAGACGTGATAAACAACCCTGGAGCCCGAATCTCTCTGGTGTACTCACCTGTAGGGAGCCACCGATCCCTCTGATACAACCGTGAGGGGGAAAGGTTGGAGGAGCACAAATGATGATGGGGAAGTGGGGGGAGGGGGGGGGGTGACTGGATGATCCAGTCTTTATTTTAATTACACACAAAACGGTAAACGTTGGCCTGAACAGCCTCTTGTTCAGATGCAGCATCAGCACACGTCTTATTTATTTCCTTTAGCGCTCACTGCCCCCTACTGGACTTTAGTTGTAAATGCTCTGCGTGCAGTATTTAAATGCACTGGATAAAGAGTGCAGTTTCTACATTAAAAAGACATTTGTGATTTCAATCGTCGTTTTATTAGTTGTTGGCGTTTATATATATATTCTAAGAATGGATTAAGTGTTCTCTGGAAAAATGGAACGGAGGCTTCTAATGGTGCAAAAATCCTAAAGACATTTAAATTAAAATGACATTAAGCCAAGAAAAGATGAGCCTATTCACATTTGGGATGCCCATTTGTGCCGGATTGAATCTCGATTGTCACAAATGTTGCCGATTACGTTTACTGCTGTTTCGGCCCAATTGAATGCAAATGTCTTTCTCCAGTTGTAGTTTAATCATGACAGGGGTCTAAAAATGATTTTAAGTGCCTGCATGCAATGCATGGAGGAGATTGATGACAATCCGGTAGCCACACAGCGTTTTTATTCTAGTTCTCGGGGTTTACACGTGGAAGTCTTTCAGCCTAATGGAGCTGTCGGGACGTTTGGTCACGGTGTTGTGACGTCTCACTCCGGGAAGCTCGTTGTCCCCGTTTCCCTCCGCCGGATCTGTTAAACGTCGTCTTCCTGTCACCAGGTGGAGCGTCTGCCCATTCTCATCGACAGCCCCAGGAAGCCGGACCACCAGCTGTCCTCGGACCCCGACAAGACCCCCGCCAGCCACGCGGCCAACAGCGACTCTGAGCCCGAGGACATGAACCCGCCAGGTGAGACAAGAAGGTCTGCGGTACTGTGGCCTGGGAAAGGTCAACATGCACCGAGGCACACACAGTTAGCTGGTGTTTGCTAATTACTGCTATTAGTGGTTATAAGTGTTGTGATTGAAGGAATACAACGGAATATTTAGAGCCTGTATTGTTTTTGAATGCTGCAGAAAAAGATCAAGAACCCAAGCTGACGTGTGAATACTGCGGATGGGTCGACTTCGCCTTCACGTTCAAAGGCTCTAAAAGATTCTGCTCCATGGTTTGTGCCAAGAGGCAAGTCCCCCCCCCCTTTATTAAATTTATATATTTATTAAATGTCAACAAAGGAGAACTCTAACAGTGCACGTTGCGGGCGACAGGTACAACGTCGGCTGCACGAAGCGCATCGGCCTCTTCCGCCCGGAGAGGAGCAAACCCACCAACCGCTGGCGCCGACGATCTCCGGGTCGCTCCAGTGTGGTGGCGAAGAAGCAGGTACACACACACACACACACACACACACACACACACTCACTCTCATCCACTTTTATCAAACTTCCTCATCAACACTTTGAGTACCATCAGACACTGATTCTGTGCACATTTGACTTTTCCTTCATTGTTTTTGTCACCGTCCAACTATGTCCCCTCGGTCTTTAAACAGCCATTACTTCATGGTCTTTGTCAAAGTTCACTGGTGACCAATAGGAGCAGAGAAGCGTTAATCTTTGCCGTGTCTAACTGCCGTCCCTCTTCACTCATTCAGAAGCTGTCCCCCTCCCCGCGGCAGGCTCAGGGCGGCTCCGTGTCCTCCCCGCATCCCTCCCAGCCCAGCCAGGAGGAGTCCAGCCCGTGTTCGGACATGTCCAGCTACGAGGAGCCGCCGTCCCCCCTGTCGGCTGCCAGCTCGGGACCCCCGCCTCCCGCCCCGGCCCCGGCTCAGGTCCCCGCCCACCGCCATCCGAGCAGGGCCGCGGACCAGGACGCCTGCGGCGCCCGAGACGCACCGTCGCCCTGTCAGCGCTTCTTACCCAACGACCCCACCAGGTGGAACGTGGAGGAGGTCTCCGAGTTCATCCCGCTCGCTGCCAGGGTGAGAGAAGTCACACACACACACACACACACACACACACGTCTCTGCATTCCTAGTTTTTCACTAACTCCTTCCTCTGCTGTCGCGGCAGGTTGTCAGGAGATAGCGGACGAGTTCCGCTCTCAGGAGATCGACGGGACAGGCCCTGCTCCTGTTAAAGGAGGACCACCTCATGAGCACCATGAACATTAAACTGGGACCGGCCCTCAAGATCTTCGCACGCATCAACTCGCTCAAAGACTCGTAGCAGAATCGAGCGCATGTCCTCCCGAGTGTGTGTGTGTGTGTGTGTGTGTGTGTGTGTGTGTGTGTGTGTGTGTGTGTGTGTGTGTGTGTGTGTGTGTGTGTGTGTGTGTGTGTGTGTGTGTGTTGAGAGGGAATGAAGAGCAAAACTAACTTGTGATTGTTCCCCGTGACCATTGCGACTGTGTGTGGACACGGACTGACTGCACAATGACCTCGCCTCCTCCCCGCCGCTGGACTGGGTCCTTTTAACAACGCGAGGGATGTCGGCTTTGACTTTCGCTGCACTGATTGCTGTTATTAATATTATTATTATTATTATTAGTTGGTCTGTGTTTACATGCACTCACAGGGACTAAAGTCAGGGGCCACAAAGAGGTTTGTACCATATTCCAACATGTGGAATATGCTGACACATTGTACTAACATGCAAGCTGCATCTTTATATCTGACCTGAATAAAGCACAAGGCGCAGTAGCGCTACATGTAAATGCATTAGGGCTGTTAATAATGGGGCTCAAATGACCTATATTCGCTTTTTAAAACACGCATAGGATCGGCGCATGAAAAGGTTTTCAGTCAGTCGCCTTGGTTCTGTTCATACTTAACCTAAAGTTTCACCTAAAAGCTCACGCAGAACACATCGCAGTCAGACTGCTGTTGGATGAGGACGTGGCTCACTTAACGTCGTGATCAGATCACAGCTGGTAGCGAGCGCCTCCCATAATGCACCGGGTGGAGCAGCGAGGGACATGTGTACTTATCTCACATTATACGATCTCATCATAGCGAGGGCACCACTTCCATAACAATGGCGCTTCTTAATACCAGGTGTGGATGCCGAGGACCTTTTTGGTCCCCGGTAGCGCAGCGCGGTGGAGATTTGTTTCTTAATAGCAGCTGTAAATGGGATTCTTGGATTTGGCCCGTGGGGAAAAGAAATAAGACGAAGAGAACTGAGAGAACACGTCGCGCCAAAGGGCACACAGTCGTTACCGAGACCACGTGAGCAGGGTGTGAATTGGTTGTTCCACTATTAGAGATGTTATTTTGTGCAGTTTTGTCTGCGTGAATGAAAAAGTGTGTGTGTGTGTGGCCGCGAGCAGAAAACCGCATTCATTCGTTGTACTCTGTAGGTGCTGCTTTGTCTTCTCTCACAATAACGCTCGCAGCTCTCCAGCACAAAAGTCAGATTGCAGAGAAACTGTTTTACATCGATTTCCTTTTTCATGACTAACTGTCAGATTTTTTGTTTTTTTCCCCCGTAGATTTAAACGGCCTGAAAGTGATTTTTTTTTGTACTGGTTTTTCAGAATTATCCACTAGAACGCGACATTGATTTCCCCGACTCTTGTTTCATAGGAAGAGTCTGTTATCTGAGGAACAATTTGGGTGCGCTGCTCTCCTCCCACAGCCCGACTTTTGGCACTTATTTTCAGTTTGATTTGCTTTATTGTCATGAGACACTCCACCTCATGTGAGGGCAGAATTTGTGCAGCAGTGCAAACAAGTTTATATGTACATAGCAGCTTGAGCGGAAAGACTGAAGCAATTGCTTTCTTTAAGTTATGCTCTTTATTTTTCAACAGAAATTTAATGGTGTTCCATTTTTTGAAATATGCAAATGTATAAATATCAATATGGGAGTTTTCATGTTTTTTGGTTCCTCGAATGAAATGTTTTAATCTGTTTGTATTTTGCGGCTGTGACGGAACGTCAACCTTATTTTTTTTGTTGTTTTAATATTCGTCAAATGCTTGTATTTATCAAAACCGTTTGCTACACAACATTTTGCAGTTATAAATAATTTGCAATACAAATCTGTCTTTGGCCATTATTTGTGTCTGTGTGATAGAAAAAGTATATTTCAATATCTCATTCCCTTAAAGGCAGAAGTTCCTGGCTTGTAAGAAAATAAATTACTCAAAATACAAACCTTTTGCCTTGGTTAAAGTACAAATTCGCTAACAAAAACGGAACTACCAATGTCAATGCTAGAAAAATGAACATTAAACGTCACATCTTTACAAAATAATAACCAGAAACGCTGATCCAACATTATTTCTTATTGAAGGGGATGTGTCTTCAGAGATATTTTATATTTAGATATTGAAGGAACAGAATTGTTGACACGAGGTCAGGAACACGGTACATAAACAGTATATATTAGAAAAGGGTGTTGATGATTAAACCGGGTGCGTTTATTCAGGGTTTTTTTTGTGCACATTCAACCCACGTTCGGGTCACAGACCGTTTTTGGCTCTGGAAGGTCCTGCTTCGGAGGCAATGCCTTTCTCTTCGACACGTTTGTGTCTCCTACAATGGACCGTTTTCTACAAACACACCGAACATTTTCTATTTTGTTTCCGCCGGACAAAAGGTTCCGTTCGAAGAGTCAGAGCGCAACAAGTTTTCTTTTGAAAACAGTGGCGACGCGCCCACCGCTGTCACGTGAGAACGGAACAAACCAAAACAGGTAGTAGTCTCTCTCCGTATTTTAAACAAAAATGTATGTACACCGTCACCGTCAATTTAATGCGTTTACATTCAAATACCGGTAGAATTGTACAAACGGGTTTGCATTCTTTCCAAACAAAAAAAGAGACAGTAACTTTAGCCTCCCACCCCTATGTCCTATCCGGAATGGTTTGGCCCAAGTTCAAACTGCAACGTTGAAGTGTCTGGGACTTTTAAAAGGTGCTACAAGGAGTGAGTGACGAGTGACTTTTAAATTCACATTTTTTGTGTATCTACGTTCTAAACGATCTACCGACATACCACCTACAGGTAAGTTTGTCTCCGAAAGATTTTTCATAACTAGATTGTAACTTGCCATTAACTTTCATTGTAACGTTATTTAACTTTTATTACAAAGGTGGAGGAAGTAACTACTCGAATCATTTATTCTTTACAGCAAAAGTACAGACACATTATCAACAAGTATCAAAAAGTAAAAGTACTCGATATGTACAATGGCTCATTTCAGACTTTGTTATTCAGATTTTCGGTACTAATCAAAATGAAGCATTATTTGTGAGTTTAAAGCCAACTTCAGATGCATTGACGTTGCGTGATGAATTCATGGAATTCTGCGCCCTAATTAAGTTTACAATGAATGTAAAATATTCCCCTCGAAAATACAGTGTAGCAGAAGTATAAAGTAACATAAAATGTAAATAGTAAATGTGAAAATTAAACTTAAATAAGTAATAAATGTACTTGGTGACATTCCAGCACTGGGAATCACGAGATTACATGAACTCAATTAGAGTATTTTCTTTTCCTTTTGCTTAACCATAATAATAATAATGTCGGCTACAGTATTTATCAGTATTTTTACACTGTGATATTGTTACTTAAATTAGAGTATACTTCTGTACACCTGTAAAATTCAATCTCATGACATCAAAAGTTGATCATTTTTCTAATATAAGTAGATTCATCGATCAGCTTACCGACTATCAATTATAGCGCTTAATATTTCCCTGGACACATTGTGACCAATTTCACCAACATGCCCAGACTTTTGCCGAAATGCCCAATCGAAGAGACGGGGATGCTGATGATTCCCCTGACGATCTTCCCAGTCTGGAAAAGCTGGACTCTCCCACAGGTAGGAAGCTTTTACTGAGTCAGTCATTGGGTTGAGACGCGTTCAGGGACCATCAGAAATTGAATTGGCAGCATAAACAATGTGCGTGTGTGTGTGTGTGTGTGTGTGTCTGTGGTGTCAGGGAGCCCCCCCACCGCCTCGTCGTCCCGCCTGATGGATCTGGAAAACTGTCTCTCCAACCTGAACCTCGCTCACGAGATCATGCTGAACCGAGACTTCTGCTTCAAACCCAGGAGCCCCGCGGCCGACAGGCAAGGAGCACACGCCGAAATATGACCGCCGTCGCCAAATGTCTCTTTCCAACCGTTCTTTCCCGCAGCCTGGAGGGCAGAGTCACGGAGATCGTCCACCGGGCGTTTTGGGACAGTCTTCAAGAGCAGCTGAGCAGCGACCCTCCGAACTACAGCCACGCTGTCACCCTGCTCCGGGAGGTCAAGACTGTAAGTGTGCACGGCATCCCTAAGAGGGCAGGGGGGGGGTCCACTGAGACCTCGGGGCCCCGTTCACCCTCACGCAGTCGTCACAACAGTGTCACGGAAACATGACTCATTGCAGCGCTCTGCTGTTCATGAAATGTCGGTGAAATATGTTTGTTATTGATGAATCAATTCACGCTGATAAACGGTGATGACAAACACACTGTGGTACTTTCAGTTGGTGTAACAAGCAATGATAATCATTATTAAAGGAATACTTTTGCAGAATAAGCGTTAGATGAGAAGATCCCAGACAAATACTATATTTTAGTTTTTTAAAGCCAATAGTGGTATTTGAGGGATAAAATCCATCGTTTGATGAGAACCCTTTGAATACAGTGATGGAATAATTGGGATGAAGTTTCAGTTTGTAATGTGCGGGACATTTTCCAGATGATAAATCCACTGGTCGGTGCTCTAACCTCCCTGCGTACCGGCTCTTGATGCATTCTTCCTTCAGGTGCTCGAGTCCCTGCTGCTGCCCGGCCACGTCCGCCTGAGAGCTCAGCTGGACGAGGTGCTGGACATGGAGCTGATCCAGCAGCAGGTCGCCCACGGGGCCCTGGACCTCCTCAGACTGGCAGCATACGTCATCAACACCATGGCGTCTTTGTGCGCCCCCGTACGGGACCGAGCGGTCAGGGCGCTGAGGGACCTCAGGGACCCCGTGGAGCTCCTTAGGTCAGGGACCAAACTTGCACCAGACCAAACTTCTTCTGCATTAGCGCATTATTTTATCAGATTGGAAATTCGTGATGCAACCAAGAAGCTGTTTCGCTCAAAGCTGCTTCCCCCCCCGCAGGGAGATCTTCGGCGTCTTGGGCCTGATGAAGACCGACATGGTCAACTTCACCATCCAGAGCCTGAGGCCTCACCTGCTGCAGCAGGCCGTGCAGTACGAGAGGGCCAAGTTCCAGCAGATCCTGGACCAGCAGCCGGGTGAGGACGCGTGTTTGAGTGTGTGAGCGATGGAGGATGAAAGTGACCCCGTCGCTTGGAAAATGTATTATTTTTTCAATTCAACTGATTCTGACCCTCGTCGCTCTGAAGCCCCGTCCTGCTATATTTTCCGGCTTCTCGTAGATTAATCGAAGATCCGGACAGCCAATCAGTGACCTCTGGCCCAGATGTTCTGTCCAGGAACAGCTGTGCTAATGAGAGTTTTTTTTCTAATAAATGTCTTCTCTTACACGAGCTACAATCTTAGTCGTTATGGAATCTTCTTCTTCTTCTTCTTCTTCCATTTACACCATGTGACGTGTTCAACCCTTCAGCCTCTCTGGACGACACCACCGCTTGGCTTCAGGAGGCGGCCGCCGGAGCTCGGGCCGAGTCTCCCGGTCCCGTCGGCGCCACCGCCGTCCTCAACCGGGCCTACGTGCGCCTGCTGCGCTGGGACCCGCGAGACCCGAAATACCCCGAGGTCAGAAAACAAATGACGACACGCTGCACTTTGCCTTTCAACCGAGTGATGTTTTATTGATCGTGAGGAAATATTCAGTGCCCCCCCCCCCGCCATCCCACCCTCCACCCCTTCGCCACACGTTAAAGCATGTGACAGCACATCAGGGCTCAAGCAGCACCTCTTCAGTCCGATGCACTGACGCGGCCCTGTCACATGAGCTCAGAGACGGCTTCATCAACACCAACACCACCCCCCCCCCCCATCGCCTCTCAAAGGTCTTCATCTGAACTGATGTTAAACTCCAGGTTACTTCACACCAGTCATTGTATAAAACAGTAGACATCCTGCAATAATGTCGTCATATGATTAAACTAATTGATTAAGTAATTTCACTAATATATGTATTACTCTTGGCTGTCTATTTATCTATTTTAGATATTAATTTATTTCTTTTTGTTGACAATTTCACATATATACTAGGAAAAATATTTATTTGTTTTAGCCAACAATTTAGCATCCCTGTTTATTCCTTTTAGCCATCGATTTGATCCTATTAGGTTAACTGTAAGTGTAGCAATTTATCCATGACTTGGGTTTCAGTAATGTATCCACTACTATTTGCTCCCTTCACAACCATTTTCCACATACAATTATATACAAACTGATTCATGTTTTTCATTATTTTTCCAATCAGTAAAGCTACAATGTTTCCAGTTGCATTTTTTTTAAAGCTATTTAAGCTGTTATTTCCCCTGTGCTGACCCCCCCAACCCCCCGCCCACGCAGACCGTGCTGATGGACCGTGCCCGCCTGGACGCTCTGGGCCAGAGGCTCCAGATGTTGGTGCTGGAGGCGTCGGTGGTGCTCCTGACCAGCGCTCAGTGCGGGGACGCCGTCTTCTCCCTGCAGGGGTTTGTAGGTAGACTCAGGCGGTCCGTCACTGCCCTGCTGGAGGGCAGTCACGCCAGGTAAGAGGAGGACTTGGTGATGCTTGTACTGGCTGTCATGGGGAACAGGTATTGTACTGGTAGGAAACTGATGGAGGTGACAGGAGACAACCGACCTGTCAGAACGGATCCAGATGACCTCATTCTTTCTAGAGAAGCGCCCTTGTGATTGGTGGATAAATGTGGAGGAGCAGCATGTGATCTCTGAGGCCTGCTTACGCTCTAAGCTCTAATAAAATGCAGCACCTCCTACTCCCTCAGCCCTTAATCGCCTATATTAAAATGTCCTTTTATTCAATCCAAACCAGAGAGACCCTGAAGTTATTAACAACCCTTATTTATCGACTCCTACTGGCCGCAGGACTCTCCTTCTAAACGGATAAATGAACGGGCCGGGGGACTTGACACACATCTAATGAAGCCTGCTGGCAACGTGTGTCTAAATGGCGGTTTGTGGCGCCGCAGGGAAGCCGACCTGAAGGGGGCGCTGCCGGGGGTCGGGCAGGCGGTGCTGCAGCTGGTGACCGAAGCCGTGAGCCGCCAGGGAGCGGCGGCGCTGCCCGAGGAGAGCCAGGATCTGCTGAGGGGACAAATATCTGAGCTGTGGAGGCACAACGACCCTGTTCGCACACTCGTAGGTCAGCAAGAAGGGCCGCAACAACAGAGTGGGGGGGGCATTTTTCATATAGAGGTGTGCTCTAAAAAAAACTCTTGTGCTTCAACATCTTCACTTTCAGAAGCGGGAACCCAGAGAAATTGGGCCTAAAAAAAAACGTATATTTCAAAAACTTTATGCTTATTTCAAAAACAGGGACAGTACGCCGTATTGGGGGTATATTTTATCCGCCAGGGGAGAACTTCGGTAGAATGTCATCATGTGTGCACAAGAGGGCGTCTCTTTTTCCTTTTCCCCCCCCCCCCCTCACCCCTCGTCCCTCTCTGGATCGAACACAGGAGAAAGAGTCCAGGCCTTCCTCCTGCAGGGCGGCCTCGCCGAGACGAGTCCGGAGCCGCCCGCTCCCCTCGGGCCCGTGAGCGCCGAGCTCGGCGAGCTGGCGACGGCGTTCGGGCGGATCGTCCGCTTCAACCGAAGCGTCTTCGGCCCCTTCTACGCACCCGTCCTCAGGGGACTGCTGTCCCCGGCGGGGGAGGCCGAGAGCGGGGAGGACTCGCGCCAGGCCGAGGGGGGCGGCCCGGACGACCTCCGGTGACCTCGACATAAGCTGCCGTTCGGCGCAGAAAGCGCCGCCGCGGTGTAAATACAGGGAAGGGGAACGTTTTGAGGGGAAAAAGACGTTTACAGCTTTTAAAGTTGTGTATTATATTCTTTTTGAGGTGTTTAAACAAAACGAAAAAGGTGAAAAACAGAAGGCAGATTCATTGTTATTGCATTAGTGCGTCTTTACCTCACATTTTAGAGCACAACACAAACAAGACAGCGTGAAACAAAATGAATGCCAGTGTGTTTTTTCTAACAAATCGCTCTCAGCATGTTGATGAAAAGAAGCGTCAGGCCTGAAAAAAACACTCTGCTGACTTTACATCCAGATAACCACCCTCAGGAAAATAAATAAGTACCAAAGATTATGCTACGTTTGTAAATAATACGTATATTAGTTTTAATATGTAGCTGGTTTCTCTTCTCATCTCGATAGATGTTTCATTTACCAAAGACAAAGTGCACTTTTTCTGAATTCGGTTATTTTGTTTATTTTAATTTTTTTGCACTTTTTGATTATTAACCAACAATATTCTCAATGTTTCCCCTGCAGTGAAGATTAGTGGGAGGTGGTGCACCAGACTGGCGGCGTAAAACAAATACCGAATTAAAATAAAAAAATTCCACTTTTGAGAAGAAATACGGATACCAACATTCTGTGAGGCTTCACACTGGATCGTGATGACTTTTAATCAGAATTCTCGGGTAAAATGATTACTAGACACATTTGGAACATATAAGCTGGTTAGTTATTATAATTGTGTATTCGATACACTTATAACAACCACGCTGCAAAAACAAAGTTCAAATGCAACAGAACACTCGTTTAAAAAACTGGGTCAGCTTGATAAATAAAAAAGTATTAACTTAACACAAGTTTCACTACTCAGAGAATATTTTCCTACCGTACGGAACTAATTACACCAACGGACACCTTGAATGTCGCCCAAAATTCACAGTTTGAAATAGTTGCAGAAGAATTTTAAAGCTGATGGAGTTGTTTTCGTGAGGAGTGAAAGGAATTTCCAGAATGCTCAATAATTCTTGTTTTAGCACTAAAAACAATATGCAGTCGGCTGCGCCATGGAACAGGTTTTTAAGAAGTTTCTCAAACTCTAAATTGATTTATTAATCCAGGTAGCCAGAAATGTTGCATGATCTTATACACTTTGTACGGCATAAAAAAAAGAAACACCAACCGAGTTATTGTATGCAAAAATATTATGTGATAGAAACAAATATAAGTAATGTAAACTGTATTTTTAAAACACATGGTGGAAAGAGTTCTAGACCATTCTGGAAATACCATCGAGGAGCAGTATTGATCCGTGTTTCCCACCGACGCTCAGCCCTGAGACTGAAATGTAATATATTAAATGGTGCACACATACATTTGGTTGATATATAAATGGCAGCATCCATTAATCTTCACAGCAGGGAAACACTGCTTGCTTTATATATATATATATATATATATATATATATATATATATATATATATATATATATATATATTTACCATGTTATATTTGTCCCTACAGCTGGTGTTATGTTCCTGTGATTTACTCTTTGACCATAAAACAAAATGCTGACAACAGACTTGAGAGGGATTCTTTTGTCATTGTATTATTCAACTTTTCATTAATATGATATTGCTTTGAGATTTAGAACAGAATCACATTTTCATTCAGAAACCCTGCGCTGTCAAAAGCATTGTATGCTGGTAGTTTATTTATTTGTTCTCTACGCTTTGTTACATTTTGGATTTAACCTCGACACCATTGACGGTTATTGACGCCAGCGGAACCTGAATCAATAGAAACGTCCCTTTACGGTCTCCAGTGCTCTAAGCAACACAGTACCTTCATGACGAGGTCACGACATTGACTCCGTCCTCCTCTGACCGACCTCTCCGGGCGGACGGGATCGGGGTGTACAGAGTGAGATCTAAACGGGTGAGTCGTGACTCTGGTTTCCTCTCTCTCCCTCTCTTCCACTCGCTCTGCCCACTAAAACTCAACGCGCTCGCATCGGCTGCTTCCCCTTCAACTCACAGCTTGGTATCCGGGAACTTGAACGCCGGCGTGAGCTACACAAGGAAAACACCAATGTTAAAAAGGAGAACCGGGGGCACATGCACAGCCTGAATCACGCCACCAATACTCGCTTTAAATAGCTGCCGCTCATCAAAGTGTAATGCTTTTATATTATGCATCCATACTGGAGCAGGTTCGCCTTGGTGACACACACACACACACAAAGTGGAAAGAACACACGTGACAAAGTGCTGGGTGGAGGGATGAGGATGAGGAGGATGGAGGGGAGTGGGGGGGGGCAGAAGGAGCGCGTGGCGGATGGGTGAGAGGAGAGACGAGACACGGAGTGCAAAGGGAACAGAAAACACAAAAGAAGAAAACGCTGGCAACATGCATCGTCAGCGGGAAGCTGTCAGTCAGAAACAACAGTGGCAACGACACGGTACCGGCACACAGCCCCGGTCACGTCTTCACAGCCCCCGACCCTCCCCCCCTCCCCTCCTCTCCTCCCCTCCCTGACCCCCTTCCGGAGCTCGATGCCGCACATCTCCTGCAGCACGCACAAACAAGGACAGTGACAGCTTCCAAACTCCCACGACCACACACAACAAGGGCACACAAGCACGCACAGCAGGTAGCGGTGCACACAGGGGGTGGAGGAAGGGGGGGGGGACGACAGATATGTGACGACTCCAGCGTTTGTGAGTCACAGGGCACAAATAAGAACGGCGTCACGTTCTCAGCGTAAGCAACACAACGCGGGGCAGCGCTCGGATTTCACTCTCACGTACGCCGTGGAATTACATCTTTTCACCGAGGTTTTTATTTTCAGGCGAGGCTCCTCTTGCTTGTTCTGTGCCTGGTTCGAAAACGGTGCAAACCGCACGGATGCCCACCCGTGTCACCGCGACAATAAGATGCTACGTGGGGGGAAATGTGCAAATCAAATGATCTGTTGTGGATGTGACGTCGGTACACTCATTGATCATTGACCGCCCCCCCCCCCCCCCTTCTTAATCGCTCACTCCGAAAGCATTTCAACCAGGTGCATCAGTCTATCAAAAAGTATCACAAAATGCACTAATATCCAATTTATCCAACCATAAGAAAAGAAAATAAGGTATTAAAAGGGATAGTGCCACGTTTTAACACAGTGTTTTATATATATATATATTTTAAATTGACAAGTAGGAGTAAGTTGCGGTCTCTCGGTGCTACCGTGAAGGCTGAGGGACTGCTGGGAAGGGTTGTGTGTGTGTGTGTGTGTGTGTGTAGGGGGGGGGGGGGGCGACGACTCTCATCTGGACAAATGGACGAAACTGAACAGAAGAGCGACGTCATCGCTCATCATCATCGTGACCCACCGGGGGGAGATTCGTCTTCCTTCTCTTAGAATCAGGGGGAGACGTGCAGTTGGTGGGGGGGGGGTCTGCAGTTGATTATAAATAACCAAAATGACGTAAGGCTGTTGTCCTCTTGTGTGTGTGTGTGTTCGTCCGTGGTCCGTTTTGAGTTCAGACATCAGCGGCAGATTCGTGACCGATCCGTCGTGGAGTTCTGAGAATCGTACAAATGCTTTGAAAGGAAAGCGCGGGTTGTTGGCTGCATGTTGCCGTTTTGTCTTTCATTGATTTAATTGTCCGTCTTGCATCCCATGCTAGCAAAGCAGCCTCCTCATGGGGCCTCACAGTGGAAGATGCCTGGTAAGACAGGACAGGCTAAAGATGGAGAAAGAAAAAGTAATAAATAACCGTCTTGCAAAACCAGCAAACAATTCAGAAATGTCAAAATAACGAGTGATGAAAATAATTAAAAAGAAGAAAAAAAAAAGGTTCATGCTTCTACATTACAGATTAAAACCTTCTACGCGAGCGATATCAAAAAGGTGCGTTCAAAGAATAAGTTCAACGGTTGGTTTTCTTGTCAATAGTTAAATAGATAAACATTCACCGGTTAACTTGGACTGAGCCACGTTAGTAGTTCCAATGCTAAGCTATATAAGCTAATTAAGGCTGCTCCTGGCCTCATCCAACTATAACAAATAAGCCCCTTTCTTCAAAATGTTGACTTTTCTTTAAGCATTTGAACGCATGAACCCTTTTGGTATTACACTCAATGTTGTAAAATGATCCTTTCTGGAAATGAATTTGGAGTCTACAAACAGAGAAAAATAAAAATGCTTTAAAGAACGGCCTGAAAGAAGAAGAATAATAATAATAAAATGCAACCTCTGGTAGATATCGGGGATGTGGAGGCAGATGCAAGTTGAGGAAGAGGAGGATGAGGAGGAAGAGGCAGTTTGGTTGAGAGAGCGAGGCCATTTTGGAACGAGATCAGTCCACGATGCTCCGCTCCAGGGCTCCGCCGTTGGCTGCGGCCACAATAGGCCTTGGGGGGGCGGGGGGGCGGTGGCGGGGTGGGGGGAGGTTTCGGGTAGGCACGGGAGGGCCGCAGGAGTGCTCGTCGTGGCGGGCAGCGAGGTCGGCGTGGGTCGCTGGGCGGGGCAAGGGGGGCGAGGAGGGGGTTGGGGGGTGCGGGAGTCGGCCGCCCTGAGGGAGGCTATACCATCACAGTGAGAAGGCACGGGGCTGGCATGTATAAACGTGTGCGTGTGTGAGAGATAAGTAAAGGATGGGATGCGGGGGTGGGGAGGGGGGAGCACGAGGGCGTGCTGAGGGGCGCCCGCGGGGGTCCGGCCTCAGAATATGGTGGTCTCGTACTTGGTGCTGACGGGGCGCCTGTGGGGGTCCCGCGGGTCCAAGAGCCAGGTGGTGCTGCCGCCCAGGGACTGCATGTCTGCGTCCATCTCCAGGGGGTCGATCTGCCGGGGAGGGGGGAGGAAGGGGGGGGGGGCGAGAGGAGGGCGTGAGACGGGGGGGGGGGCGGCGGCGGCAGAGGCCATTACCCACACACACACACACACACACACGTGCATGTGGATTAGAGAGGGCGGGGGGTGGGTGGGCGGAGGTCCGGTGATCATGTTATGATCACAGACACTCGGGGCTCAATCCACAACATGGACGATGCGTGACAGGAAGTTCCCTCGGCCTCTGCAAGCAGCAGTAAAAACGACGCTGGGGGGGGGGGGGGGGGGGCAGAACAGCGATTGCCCCACACCAGCAAACGAGACATGAGCAGTCAAAACACACAGAGGCTGATTGATGCCGATTTACTGAGAGACACAAATGGTCGGGAAAATGACAAAAAGAACTCGCCGCATATGAAGGACGTGCACAGTTTGACAAAGAGTGGAATCAAAAAATGAGAAAGGGAGCTGAAGAACCACCCGACAGAAACCTCGAACCACCGTGTTTACGAACCCAGACACAATGAAACCAACAACATCCCTTACAGAGAGAAGGTGAAACCCATCATGACACCCTCTGTTCCCGGGGAGGTGGGGGGAGTGTGGGGGGGGGGGGGGTCTAACCACAAGACTTCAGCCAATTGCATCGAGAAGATGAGAGATGAGGAACGTAAGGGATGAGGGGGATGTGTATGGTTGAGATACTAAGAAACACCAAACCAAAGGAGACAAAGCGGCAACAGAACAAATAAAGAGGGGGTTGATGTGTGAGCAGATGTGTGTGTGTGTGTGTGTGTGTGTGTGTGTGTGTGTGTACAGGTTGAATAGAGGAAAGGAAAGAGAAGGACCTGGACTCCAGGGCTAACAGAGTGCAACGGGAGGAAGGAGGGACGGTGGGTAGTACACGTGTGACAGTGACAGCAGCGGCATTCGAGCGGAGGGGCTCCCTGGGAGGCAGGAGGACCAAGAAGACAAGAACAAAGACACGTTAAAAAAAGACGAGAGAGCATAAGAGGGACAGAGCATTTGAACGGGACAAAGACGGGATTCCAGGAGCAGCGGCTCGTCACCTGTTTGGGGCTCAGGGGGCCAAATTGCACCGGAATATTCTTCTACGTTGTTTGTTCTCGTGATCCGTTGTCATTTTTTTTTGGTCCTTTTTGCAAAGATTCCAATTTCTTTCAGTGACTGGAGATTTCTATTATTTCTGAGGTGTCTCCGTCGCTCTCAGCCAGCATTCAGCCATCAGACTGCACCAATTCAAACTTTTGCAGCAGCTGATTCCAAACTTTTGAAAGGGAATACATGTATTCATGGAGGGAGTACCCAGCAGCAATTTATCGTACATTTTTACCACCGACGGTGACAGCATTTTCATCAAACTAACGGCGCTCACATTCGCTGATTTAAACAGCTAGAAATGAGAAACCATTTATTTCTAATATTACAAAGATTTAACGGCACATATTTCACCCTAAACCTTCTGGGTCAACAAACACGCATGCAATTCTGTCGACTGATCGATAAGTTGATTGAACCAACAGCTGATTAAAAATAATCACACAGGAGCAAAGCTTTGCTGCTGTGTTTACCGGTGTCGTGCTCACAGAGCCAAATCCAAATCCAAAAAATCGACCAAATAAATCTTATCCCGCTGAGATCAGAGCGACGGATTAGTCGCCTCATCGCCTCTGAAGGCTCCACCGTACATACAAACTGTGTTTGAACCAACCAGGCTTGGATGCATTCACCGGCCATAAAAAGCATTAAACAAATTGCAGCACCCCCCTCAATTAAAACTTAAACAACGAGCCAGACTCGTTATGCAGCTCTGTGATTACTCCATATATCCCCCTAACGGCAGGTAGTAAAACAAAGTGATTTGTGTCTCTGCATGCGGGTGCGCGCTCCCGGCTGTGCAGCTCGCTCAGGTGACAGTGATCACTGAGCGCTCATTCTATGCAGCCTGAGAAGTCCATGCATCAGTGCGCACAGCTCAGGGAACGCAAATCCATCAGCGGTGAGGAAGCGGCGGGCTGGGTCCAACTAGCAGGGCCGAGCCCCTCAGGAACGTCCCGGAGGACATCGCACACACGATCAACAGTTGAAAGGAACCGTCCGTCATGTTTCGCATATGCGCTCGGAAAAATAAAAGATCCGACCCGAGTGAGGGGAGCGAGATCAAATTGGAAGCAGAGCAATGAGTAATGAGAGCAAATCTTCCAGGAGGCTTGTTGGGGGATTCAGTGGCGGGGAAAAAAGTCGGTCACGAGGTCTGTGTACTTTCTCTGAATTATGAAAACACAAGCTCGGCATTGTTTCTGTTTGTTTTTTAAAGAGTTGTAGGGCGATACTCACTGCTGATCTTCGCATGCTGCTCCATGACTGAGATACCGGGCGGCTGGCTTTGGTCTCTATGACCTCTGGGCTCAGAGATGTGGGCGGGACATAGTGTCTGGCCCTGGCCTGCATCGCCATCTGATAGGCCACCTCAAATGCCTGTCCCAGTGTGAGGATGATCTCGTAGGTCTGCGTCTATGAGAGTGAGGAAAAATGTTTGCTTAAAAAAGAAAAGGCGAATGCAAACAGACGGTACTTTAGCTGCTGCAAACTGACACAAAACAACCTCTAGACATTGGTTTTCTTTGGGCTTTACGATGCATCTTACCTAAAGTCACATTAGCCTTATGAGATAAAGTATATCATATATTATAATATGTTATTATAAAAATTTTGAAGACGTCGGTAAGCACTATTTAGTTAGATGTGCTTCGACCATCGACAAAATATAGCAACGAAATATATATATATATATAGAGAGAGAATAGAGTAGTATTACTCACCACTTCCACAGTACTGAACACATGGCAGAAGTGGTGGCCGCTATTCAGATCCTTGGTGATGTAAGCAAAAGCGCAGAGGTCATCTGGGTCCTGGGCGGCGCAGGAGATGTTCCTGATCTCATGCTCCGCTACTATGGCCTAAAGGGGGAAGGAAGGAAGGAAGGAAGGAAGGAAGGAAGGGAGTGAGTGAGTGCTTCCTGGGAGTCGACCGTTAATAGAGGCGGGGAGTGTCGACTGCAATACGCGCAGACGCACACAAACATACTTTCCCATTACCTTCGTGGCTGCATCGATGAACTTGACCCCTCTGTAGGTGATGGACAGAATGACAACTGGACCCTTTCTTGCATCCTTTGACTTCTTCAATGGACAACATTAAATAGGTGAGATATACAGTGGTAAAACAAAGCTGCCCCAGCTGGCATGTTTCTTCTGCCACGCTTGAACATTTCATTCTGATTATTTAGTTGCTTTTGAGTTATTCTCCAAAATATCAAATGGTATTAGAAGAAAAATCCTCAAAGCTTAGAAGTAATACTTACTCTAATTTTAGCACAGGCCTCTTGTGTGGACTCGATTCCTCGTAGATCCCTGATTACCATTGATCCTAGGTACTAGGAGGGAATCAAAGCACTCTACATGTCAGCTACACTACACGATGGGAGCAGTAAATTCAAATTTAAAAAAGCACCAAAATCCATTTTAGGGAACAGTGGTAGAATGTTGTGTTCTAAATTAAGCATGAAAAAAAACGTGCATGTCTGCTTCCACGCGAAAGACAGTAAAAAACAAAAAAGGGACTTACGGTTGCCTCGTACCCGCAGGAGTCCAGGATGAGCTTCTCGGGCTGGTGGTGCCAGGCGGACACCGTGGCGTACGTGGCGGACGTGCTCGGCGGCCGGAGGTTTAATCGGGAGTCTTTGTGCCGTTCGCTCTTTCTGTCCTGCAGAGATGCAAAGCGGTCGCTCGGTGAATGCGACAAAGAAAGAAGAGGAAAAAAACCCCAGCTGGCCTGGCGTCATGAGACGCGTCCGCTTCTTCTAAAACGGCCATCGAGTTTGTCGCGCCGGGGTTTTTTCTTTCTTCCCACGCGCACACAAGACATATTTGTGCACGTGGGCAAAGTCTGCTTGGTCAGCACCTCGGTACTTTTTGCTGGTACAATCATAAATATCCATGCCCACGGTTAGGCCCTTAGGTCAGTGTGGGCCGGGCTGAGTTATTTCCTAAATCACCTGTCACGGTGAAATATACTACTGGCAATAATCGGCTGAGAATTTAGGAATATGCAAAGTAGTGATTTTAAATATAATGCTGCCTGAGTGGCCTCCAGCAGTAAGAAAAAGGATGGATCGATCCTGAGAAACATTTTTCTTTTCTTTGACGCTCCTCTGTGTTTTCTCTTTGAGCTCAGGGAGTCAGAAACGAGAATGCCAGCTTGGCTGTTAATGCATGTAAGGCAGATTTGACCTTTTGTGAATGGTACATTTGATCAGTGAGTTATTCTTTGCTCATTTTCTGAAAGGCGACCCCATGAATTCAGGGGAACAGATTATAACCCAAAACGTGCGAGTGAATAAAGATTGAATTGCATGGGTTTTATCCCTTAGAATACCAAGATACAATGATCCTTATGAGCAGCTAAAGTTTAGAGTTACCTTGTTAATTTAAAGTTGATTTCATCTCGCTCATAAAGTATTAAGTTTGAAGGTACGGCAGGCCAAGAATTACTGAAAGGCGCTCCGGCTACAGTCTTCTACAGCTTCAGTTCTGCATCGCAGCTCTGCGTCCGGAACCCGTGACGAGACGCCCTGACACGCCTGGCTCTCGTGCACCACCCTGCTCCTCCATCATCCAGCTAGTCGCTCACTGACTTCTGTCTAAAGTGAAAGAAGGTGGGACTCACTACGGAGCGCGGCCTCTCGCTATACGACCGCAGAGAAACACTACAGTCCTGGTCAACTCCTCTCCGCCTCCGGTCGGACTCGCTCGAGGGCAGGAGCATGTCCATGGAGCGACTGGTGTACGGGTCCATCTGACTGAGGGGGGACGTGGTCTGGGACAGGAGGTCGTGGAACTGCCAAATCCCACCCAGTCACACGAAAGGGTGCACAAACACACAAACACAAACACACAGACACACACACAGCACAGATGAATGATTCAACAGCGATATCTAGGTGGGCTGCTTTCCCGGATCTACATCCAAGCTTAATCCTCCACAAAAGAAGCTCTTCCAGAGAGGCTCTCTGTTCTTTTCAGCTCGGTTTTTAATCTGCCTGGGAAATCAGCCCAGAGTATTTAGCTCTTGTGAACATAATAATGTTAAAGAATGTCATTCCAAAATTAGATTTCCGCTGGATCCATTTTCTCACGAAACGATGTTGGCACATAAATCAAGCTTGTCGAGCAAACTCGGTTTTGATTTTTGTTAAATGACAAAAAGTCAAAAGTGGGTCACCGTCTATCTGGATTCAAATATACAACACTGTAACACACGGAAGCAGAGCGTAATGCAGAGGTAGCAACAGAGACCACATCATTGCATCAATTTCCTCATCGTACCATAATCGGGGACATACGGCGGGACTTTGACGGAGCCTCTTCGTAGGGCCTCTCTGCCAGAGAGGCGATGATCCTCTTCCTGTGACCCAGGGCACCGATCTTAATGACCTAGAGGGCGGAGCGTCAACGTGAGACAGACTTCACGGTGCACCGTCACATCAATATCGCCCCCCCCAAAAAAACACAAGAATTCATCTGGACCGAGCTAATAGAGATTCATCCCAAACGCAGCGACACGCAGTCGGTGGCCTGCAGCCCTCCCGTCAATAATTCAGCCTCGATCTGTTTGGCCGCAAGCTTTGAGTACAGCCCCGTCTCCTTCCTGGCACACTCTATAATTCACCCTCCTTCTTTGGACTGCGGCGCTTCAAAAACACTGAGGAATTTGCAGATCGTCGTTGGTGGCGACGAGGCGACGTGCCGACTTGTGAAAAGTGAAATGTTTTTAATTGATGGTGTTGCAGCACTGCAAGTTCACCTGACACACATCTGTCTCTGTCTCATTCAACCTTTTACAAATATCACATCTCCTTGTTTTGCTGCAACACAGGTTAACGTTATGTCACCAAAACTCATTATCTTCATAGTCTATATTTGCATAATTGGATATTAACATTCATGCTCATCCAGCAAAGGTGGACGTCGAGTGATTAATGTTGCGTCCGCAGTGACGTAGCTCGTACGGCTCTTTGTCTGCAGGCTTCAATTATTTATTCCAGTGAGAGTCGGAGGCAGTCGAGGGAACTTGTAGTCAGGCTTCCTGCCGCCGTCCACCTTCTCCTCACGTGCGGAATCCCAGTGAGACCAGGAGGTGCGCGAAATAAGAGAGCGTTTTATTAGCATAAATAAAAACCAGCTCGTGGATCAAATTGACGGCTGGTACAGGAACAGGATGTGGTGGGGGGGGGGGTATGTGACGGGCGAAGTGATTCCTGGCAGGAACGCTCACACGCGTCTCCCTGTGCCGCGTCGCAGGCCGCTGGACGCCGTCCCTCGCCCGCTGTTTGGCTGCTGCTGCTGACTGAGGCTTTCTGACATTCTGCCAACGCCGTCTTTGTGCATTTGCAGCAAAATGCCCTTTTGTCTCACGGCCGTCCAGCATGTGGGACTAATCGTCCAGCTGCAGACTTTTATTCCTTTTCCCGCGGGCGCAAAGAAACGAACATTGAGCCACCGGTCAATTTTAGAACCGCGTTTTTCCAGATGATGACGTCGCCCGTGTGAAGCAGACGGTGTAATGGTGTTTCTGAGTGGCGCATGGTTGTGTTCTCGCCGTGCGACTGCACATGACAGGAGCTGTATCTTAACATTCAGAACAATAATAAAGCAGCAATGGACTTATTGTCCCTCTCTTGTTCTCACAGCTCTCTGCTTTGTTGACACGGCCACCCGGTGCTGTGATGTGACGGCGACAGCTGACGAAGCGGCACAAACCGATGGCGAGGTCGCAGGCGTGTAAAACACGGCCTCCGCGCCCCCCCCCCCCTCAGGAGAACGCTGTGTACTTGGTCAGCACTTTCGCCGCCCTCAGCGCTGTTAGAAACGCTCGCTGTAAACTGCCGGCTCGACCTCTACGCGCCGCGCCGCTGAGAGACGATCGGAAAGCTCCTAATCTCAGATTTTGTGCCTTTAATCCGGCAAAAATCATGTCTTCATTTCAGTTTCATTTTGAACTTTTGCATGCTTCTTGTTTAATAAAGACTAATAATAACAGTAATAATAATAATGTTGGTTTCAAAACACAAATATAAATGCAGACAGTGATCATCAACCCCATCAGATATTCCTTCTGGATTATCCAGTTGGCCAACAAGCACATTTACAATATCTTCATGATTGCTTTTTACTTCCAGCCCAAAATAAATGAGTCCTCCCATGTAATTACAATTGATCATAAAATGTAACACAATTACCATAAAGATGAAACCGAATGATATCATTTCCCGTCATCAGTCCCCATATTGCTCCTTAATTTACATTTCGCTGCACAGTTTACTTCTAATTACTCAGTGGTATTAAAAGGGTTTTTGTTACAGTTTTATGCAAATGCTTCAATCATCGAGCCCCATGTCATTACAAAATTGCATTTTAGAGTGCTTCTTAACCTCAATCATGAGGCATGAAGCTTGTTTTGGGATTAGGGAGCGCAGGTCCCGAATGTCTAAAGACGTGAGTCCATCGACACTCACGTCTCTTTGGAAGCACTAGAGTCTGAAGCCGCAACGGCTGAATGTGAGTGTTGTGCTTCTTACGTTGACGATCTCCAGCTCCCACAGGTTCTTCACACACTCCAGCGTGCGGTAGCCACTTGACAGGAAGTTGGGTAGATATTCATGCAGGCCAAGGCCGTCCAGCCAGGTGACAAGGGATGTGCTGCCGTCACAGCCCAGCGCTTTAACCTGGAGTGAAGGGAAATCAATGGCCACGCGTTCTACTAAGGAAATGGCTTCAAATAGAGGTGACCGGTGTATGAATGTTATTCCTGGTGTGTCCAACAACAAAATGCATTCCTTTTTTAAACCGTGTACAACTCACATTCATTGCATACTGTAGCCCAACCCTTAATATCTCCTTATTTAAAAATGTATTTGTTCATTGTTAAATCTAAAATATCTTCGGTCAACGTCTTTTCTTTACATGTACTGTTTTTTTTAACATCCAGACATGTCACATGTACCATGTTTAGTACCTTGGGCAAGCTGCGTGCCGCGTGGAGGATCTTCTTCCTGTGTCCTGGGTCGGTGATCCCAAAGTCTCTGAGATCCTGGTCCTCCATCACGTTACTTCCCTACACGTGCCAAAATGCAAGAGACACACACACATGCATGGATGCAGACAAATAAACACAAACACAAGAAACAAACACAACGCACGGGGGACAATACGCAGAATGGACAGTTGTGGAATCAATGACAATCAATCTGTAATCTGTCACATTGTGCAGTTGTTTAAATGTCCGGACGCACAAACTGGCGTACAGTATTTACACACATGTGGGAAACAGCTTGTGACTCATTCTACTCTGCAGCTACCGGGGGGGGCGGCATTGTAGCTGCAGACACACACGCTTACTAACAACATACACGCACGTCTCCGAGACGGGCAGTAACAGCAGAGTGGGAGGACGGTGAAGTCGAATTAATTGCGCGTGCCAGGAGTAATCAATCTGACGTGGTGCGACTCGGAGAGGAACAAAGGCCTCCATGACTGCAGCGGCGTCTATAGGATCCCTTTGTTGCTCCGTCTCATCGAGGGAAGCTCTACAGTCCGGGGAGAAATTATTTCACCGCAGTTTGGCAACAATTCCTTAATTCGGGAACATCGAGGCAATGAACTGTAATCATTTTTCGCCTCCTGAAATCTCCACTGAAAAGCAGATTCTTGTCTATTTCGCGCACGCCGTTCGTATCTGCAGCTCCAGACGCTTTTTGTCAATTTATTCCGGTTTATAGGCGGGAATAAAGATACGAGGAGAACCTTGGAAATGCGGAGCTAAGCGTTTCTCCCCCCGGACTGCTGCCGCTTGATTCTTCCTGGCCAAGAATGTTAAAATGTTCATTAGTCTTTACTCAATCCGCTCTCACCGGAGCGGTTTCAAAGGCCGATGCAGCAGCAGCAGCATTCACGGGGCCGCAGTCAGGAGATTACTCACTGATCACCAGAATAAAGGTCAAAATGAAGCTGGGTCTGATGCAAGGGAAGCCCAAAATAGATTCCCCACTTTTATTAACGCAGTCTGAAGTTTGAGGACGCCTCAGGAGACTCTGCAAACTTATTATTTCATGCTGCATTTGAAAGATGTGACGGAAATATATGGTTCAGTTCTTACATAGCTTATGAGCAACGGTGGTTTGATTTAATCCGACACGACTTGCAGATGCAGCCATGGTAGAAGTCCTTCATCTCACTAAATGCACTCAGTTAATGCAACAGTGAATTAGAATTGCTCCATTGCTCTGCACCACAGGGGGATCGTTCTTTTTTTTTTTTTTTTTTTAAATCAAATTATGTTAGCTGGCGCAAAAATGATATGGCCTGAAAGAATGAAGAGTTAATTTATGGGTCACAATGTGTATGTTCAGTTCTAAATTATAATAATTGAAAAAATCTGATGCAATGTAAATGCATGATGGGTAACTTGTAGGATGTTTCGCAGTAGGACATTTGCCTCGTGGCAACATTAGTTTGGACATCTGAACACAAACACAACGCCACAAAAGGAAGTAATAAATGCTGTGGATTTATATGGCTGACAAAGAAATCCTGACTTCCACATCTGAAGAAAATCTGGCAGAATCTATAAGGGCACAATATTAAACATTCACAATGTCTGTCTGTCTGTCTTTCCCCTGCTTTTAACCCCCGAACCCTTTTAAATAATCACTGGTAATTTGTCTTGTGAAATTAATCATTTATCTCGTTGATGCATCAAGTCCAGCAGACACATTAGTGGTGGAGTGAATGCTTAATGACCCGATCCTTCCTTATCGCATTATGTCCCGGGAATCTTGATCAACATGGAATCTTTCAACCCACGAAGACAAGAAGGTCGCTTTGTCTCCTTTCTAACTACTATCTATGAGATATATGACGAGGAACCGTGGCCGTCCAGCGTGTCTGGTGGTTAAGACACCATTTATTACGAACGCAACATCATTGGTTCAATTGCTTTGTGTCGCGCAATTTCCTGTCTAGATCCATCTCCCCCTCATTTCCTGTCCCCCCTCTCTCATGTCTGCTTATAAAAGGAAAAACGATCCCTCTAATGTCATTTAACAGGGCAAAATAGTGTTGTCTCGTGGACAAACCGTGCAATTAAGACCTTTCGTCTTCTACGCCTTCCTCAATATTGTCCGACGATAGCCGATCGGTCTGCATCAAGACACCTGGACTGTATTGATTTCACTATGAGCATATAATACGAGCTTTTCTCATTACGTTGTAATCTCGACCCTCACTAGTTAGAAAAAAACAAATTCAACCACTTTCCCTCTGAGCTTTCTGGTGTCACTTCAGTGACCAGCAGATGCAACGTGGCGCTAAGGCCGCGCCGCGCTGCGAGAAATGTCAGCGTTGACCCTTTAGAAGTAACTATTTACAGTGCGCAGCCGTGTTTTTCAGATTAACATGGAAAACGTAGGAGTGTTTTCTAGAACCATCACCAGCTGGATATCGAGCTTCGTTGACAGTCGAGCTTCTCGACAGGAAACATGATAATGCTTTCAGTCAGCACGCGGACGTCGTTGAGCTGAATGAACTTATCAATATGTAATCTGATGGGGTTTTTTAAAAATGCAAAACATTTATCCAAAAGGGTTTTGATGATTTTCAGTAACTGTCAAATCATGTTTTAAAAACATTGGAGTTGACGAATTATGTAGCTTTGAAATAACTTAAAATGTATTACTGGATGTATGGAGCCAAATCCAGGTCAAAAGTTTTGTTCATTTGAAAAACAAATGTGAACCTGAAAGTTTCGGGATGAATGTAGATTTTGACTCAGCTCAGAAACTTTGTTTTTTCAATCTTCACTTATATTTATTTTTTGAAATTCAGTGTATTATATTTTTCGGTAACATATTTTATATTTTTAGATACAAATCTTATATTTTCCGATTCAAAACTTGGCATGTTCGGATGATTTTTTCCCCACATTTTGACCCTGACGTGGCGAAGGGGGCGGGGCATCACCTGTGAGGGGCGGGGCATCCGCTGGGAGGGGCGTGTCATGTGCGATCAAGCGAATTAACCGTTTTAACTGTGTTAATAACACATTGCACAAGTCGAGCATTCAGAGGGTTTTCTGATGTTATCTACACAAAGACCAAGTCCACTAAGATTCTATACGCGGGGGGGAAGAGGTGACTTTGGAATTGAACCATATGTGAGAAAAAGTTGATGGCTTTCATTTATCTTTCTGTCGGCGACAGCCCACATTCTTTAGAATGGATCCAGTGCGGGTCCATAAATCTCAGCAGGGTCACGCATCGCGCACGAGGTGGAGAGGAGTTATGAGGAGAGGTGGAGGGAAGAGAAACGGCGCAGGGGCTGATGGGGACGGGGGACGGGGGGGGGGGGACGAGGCGAGAGCGGCGACATGAACAGACAAACGCAGCGTGATGCAAAGTAGAAGCGACCCCCCCCCCCCCCCCCTCTCCCCCTCCCACCTCCTCCTCCCCTCCCCTCTCCGCGATGACGCGCCGCAGGTGACTCACCATGAACCGCAGGTCGTCGAAGCCGTTGAGCAGGAACTTGCTCTCGTACTGCGGCAGCCCCACGTGCTCCAGCCACTCTCCGACCGGCTGGTCCAGGGCTTTACCGCAGGCCCCATCTGCCGAGAGAGGGAAGCGCTTCAGCAGGGAGAAGCCGTTCAGCCGGTAGCAGCGGCACTCGGAGGACGACACATGGCACTGCCACATCATCCTCGGCCAGCAGAGGCAGAGCCGAGTGCGGCGGCACCGGGGCGGGGAGGAGGAGGAGGGGGGGGATAAAGGGGTGAGGATGGAGGAGGAGGAGGAGGAGGGGGGTCCCGGTTAACTCAAACACGGGAGGAGAGGGTAGGAAGTGCGGCCAAGCTCGAGCCCTTCTGGGCTAACACGCATCCGCCGGCGATAGTGTGACTGACTGAAGGTGTCAGGCGAGGGTGGAGGAGGTGGTGCAGGGGGAGGAAGCCCATCTGAAGCTCGGTGTCGTTAAGTTAGGTTTGGACCGACAGTTCGCAGAAGCTAAAAGTCAAGAGACTGAATGCGTTTGAGGTTGAGGGGAAATGGGAACATCCATCACTAAAGCAGACATTTTCATACATCACACATTATTGTACCACGCTTACAATATACCCATCTTTTTTTTTTTTTTACATTACTATCAGAAATGATTCAGGGTGTAACACAGAGATATTCAATTCCCCCAAAATAAACGTGTCATGGTTTTCAACACATACTTGTAAAGCTCTGGCTGAGTCCCATGGCTTCATTGGTCAATCTCTTTGAGAGCTAGGACACGGATCATATAACGAAGATAGCAGCATTCTAAAGTACTTTTGAGGTAATCGTGTATTTTTTTTTTTTTTATCAAGGAATACACATTTACTTAAATCAGTTTTTTTTTGCCTTTTTTTCCAGAGCCACAAGGAGTACGGTCAGGTGGACATATTGTAAATCCTACAGCAAAAAAAAAGAAAAAAAGAAACGTTTTCTTGGAGATTTCCAGTGTCCTGAAATCCAAACTCCTCAATTTAGAATCAAATCCAAACATAGATTCCTCGATAAAGCTCCCGGGAAGCCGCGTGCCGGTGGAAGAAGCCTCGGCGTCCTCGGCGGTGCCAGTGCTGCCCGGCAGGCAACCTGCCTCTCATCCCTCCAAAGCGGTAAATCCGGGTTCCGATCCGACAGACGGAAGGTGACACTCTCGACTCTCGAAGCCAGGGATGGCCCGCGGGTCACGCCTGCTCCCCCCCTGAGGCAGGTGTCCTGCCCTCTCCTCCTCCTCCCCCTCCTCCCTCCCTCCCTCTCTCCCTCCCCGCCCCCCCCTCTCCCCTTTGCCTTTGCTCCCACCCCAGCCCGCCGGTTCTTCTCCTCGCCGGAGAGCCTCTGTGCTCAGGGCAGAGGTTGCTGCATCCCCTGCCTGTCTGAGACATGCAGGCAACGCAGATGCGGTTCCCGGCAAGCTGCTCCCGGCTGACACGCGGTCCCCCCACCCACCTCCCCCTCCCTTCTGCCCCCTCCCACCCTCCCACCCTCGCTACTCGCAGGGCACAACGTCCTGACGCTGGTCGACTTCCGCACGGGAGACCCGCAGAGAGCACTGGCACAACCTCAGCCTCTGCTGCCGCTCGCGTCCTTCCCACATCCACGACGGGCGAGAGACTCAGATCATCCTCCCCTTTCTCATCCGACCGAATCCCTCAAGCTCTTCTTTTGAACTCCCTCCCCTCCCCCCTCTGCTCCCCCCCCCTCCTGGTTTCTTTTTCTCTCTCGGTTTCTCTCCCTCGCCCTCGATCTCATAAGCAAGGGTTCCAATGCTGTGTGATGGCCCCGGCAGGGCTGATGCGAGGGTGCTGCTCCACGTATCCACGTCTCTCTCTCTCTCTCTCTCTCTCTCTGCCTCGCTCTCCCACGATATCAATTCCCCTCCCTCTCTCCCTCTTCCCCCCCCCCACCAACCCTGCGTCTCGCTCGCACAGACGCACAGAAGCGATGTTTTCTCGCTCCTTGTCGTCTGTCCCTCTGTCCCTCCTATCTCCTTAGCTCCTTAGCTCCTTCACACACGGCCGCCTGTCTCTCTCTAACCTTCCCCCCGTCTCTCCCCGCCGCGCCGATCGGAATCGCAGAAACACTCTGATCTCGCCACTGCAGAAAGGATGCCACCATCAGAGGCAAAGAGCCGCCCCCCAAAAAACCACACTCCTTCTCTCCCAACAGTGACTGAAGGGACGAACGAAGACCCAATACTCGTCTGCAACAGCCAACTTCTCAAGGCTGTGGCAGGGTATTGAATCAAAGAGCCTCATCAATCCTCTGCCTATTAGCGGACGGGTTTAATTCATTTACGTCTTACTTTGATTATACGACAAGGGGGGGCGGGAGGCAGCGTTGATGTAAGTCGGAAGGAATTTGTAAGGATAACAGAACAGAAGCGAAAAGACGGACTTTTCAAGCTGTGTCTCCTCTTCGTCTCGTCCATCATGTACTTCCAGATGTTTTAGAGCATAACAGAGGCGTCTGATGGGGGAAAGGCCTGGGTAGAGATAATATATATCATAATAAAAGATGTTTTTTAAAAGGCCTCTGCCTACGTAGTCCACGCAGGAGGCTGTAGACTTCAGCGGCCACTTGTGCCGGGCTGCTGGCTGCATCCATCACGGCTGTTACCCGGATACAGCTGAAGGCGGAGGGTGATTATGCAGGCTTTCAAGCTGCTCGCAATCACCTCGCACATTCCCAGATGGGCAGTCAGCCAGTCAGTAAGGCGGTCGGGGCGAGGGGAAGCTGTGCCAACTGAGGGGGAGCAAAGTGAAGGGCTATTGATTGAGCCTCCTCCGTAATTGGCCCGCCCCGTACCGCTGTCCGCTCGGGCGCTAACGATCGGGTAAAAGGCCAAGTCAGGTCCTCGTGACCCGTCAGTCATCCGCGAGGGCCGGTGCTCGTCGGTTGTTATCAGAATAAGATGGTAACGGGACGTTAAGAAGGACTAATTATGATCCCACAACTCCTCCAAAGTCAGCTCTTAACGCCACGATATCCACACAAAGACCCGCCACCCCTTCCAAATGCTCCCATTAATTTGGGACAGCAACACCTCCTACGGTAGAACCTAATTACTGACTGACAGAGCATCCAACGCTTCTCCGTAGGGGGAGGAACTGGGTCACTGTCTAATCCCCTGTTAACAGACCAAGCCGTCAAATCCATCCAAGTGGGTTTGAGCGCTGCCACTTCAAGACGTGGCTCCAAGCAGCGCCCCCAAAAAGACCTTTTTAACAGAGCGAGAGGTGGAGGTTGTGGGTAGATAAGGCCGCGCGTCTTTATCGGAGGTGGAGAAAAGCAGCAGCTCCTTGTCAACACACAAGCGAGCAGGGGAGAAAATGAGCCGCAAAGCTGAATTAATTCGAGGAAATCGAAGGCGGACTCGTCCTTTGAACGTCTGGGGGAGCCTTGTGTACACAAGCCGAGCCGATGCCTCCCGTGTGCTGTTAGCCGAGCTCCCTCTCTCTGTTTAAGCTCATTTACTCAGTGCTCTGTTAGCGCACAATCGAGACACACGACACAAACAACCTCGTCCTCTTTCACGCACAACGGCGCTAAAAATTGCATCTAAATGGGCTGAAATTGCAGGGCTGTTTCACGAAACCCAGCCAGGAAAAATCGAAATGTTCAGAACTCTTGTTTGCGGTCGATGCACGGAGAGGGCGCGATGGGATGAGAGCACACGAGGAAACGGTGTGTGGAAAGAGAATACGGTGGAACAGGCGTGATGTTTTTGTCCCAGTTCTGTCACAATAAAAAGACACAAGTGGAGGGACGGGGGACAAGTTAGGTTTTCATCTTTGTGTAATCTCCATCGTCTCTTCCTCCCGGCGACGGATACCTGTTTGTCCGTCTTTTATTAGACTGTGGTTAAAGAGGGATGCAAGCTACACACAGAAACACACACGCAAACAAAAGCATCTTCGCAACCTCCAGCACTACTCGTGCACGACCTCAGATTAAAATCGTGAGAGCGACGGCATGACTCAGCGGAATCTGGGACACTTTCTGCGAGCTGTTCCTCAAACAGGGGCTATAAATAGCACGCACCTATATGTGTAGAAGAAAAGAAACAACATATTCCCTCTTATGTAATGTAAAATAACCTCAGGTACTAATTGTTAAGATGGGAATTAATTAAAGAATGCTCAAGTGTCCTGGAAGTTGAGTTAGAATTAAAGCCATAAATGAACCCTCCAATGTAAAACCAGCCCCGATTATTCATCTCCTCTTATATATTCCAATCATTTCTTTTGAGTTACATTTTAATTATGATTGAATTATGTGTATTATTATTATTAATTTGCCTCCCTTTTCGTTGTAAATATATTTCAATAATCTGTTTAAACTGTGTACAATCATTCTTGTATTGCAGCTGTTTTGATATATCACGTCAGGCACCCCGAGCCACATTTTCTTTCTTGTTTCTCATTTCTTACCTTTTGAAAGTAGTGGTAGAGCAATGCCGCTGTAACCGCTTGCTTGGTATCGGGGCCGACAGATGCAGAAGATGTAATATAATTGACGCACAAATCGCACGTGTGGGGCTTCTGGAAGGCGGCGCTGTGCCCGGTGAAGCTGTTACACAACGGCCGTATGATGAAACCGCCTCGTGGCAGAGTCTCTGTCAGAGGGAGGTCTACACCGTACCGACGCAGGAGCGTTATCCAAACAAACCGAGGCCATGCCAGCTGCCTTCTGCCTCGAATGGACGCCCGACGAAGCCTGCCGTCCGTTCAAGGCCCCATTGAGATAGTAAAGAATGCAGTTTTTAAATCAGATATCCCACGAGGTGGAAAACGTTGTTCCTAACAAATAACATCAACGTCATCAGCTTGAATCTCTTGTAAGAATAGTTTTATTTATAAGAATTATAGATTTATGAGGAGGGTGCGTTTGAATACTGAACCGCAGCTCACAGACAGTAATCAGTCAAAGGGCGTAAGGAGTTTGGTTGGTGTTGTCCTTTGTGTGTGACTCCCGCCTCACCACCTCCACAGCGGCGCCACGAATGCGGCAACACGAGCAATTAAGATCCTCGTGAATGGTTCATGAACGCGACTCACTTAATCCCCCAGACCCAGACGTCATTTTGCGTTAACCAAACAGTACATTTAACACGCCGCTTGGTCTCCGGAAGAGAAAGACGACTCAGTTCAGCCTGACTAAAGAGGGATTGTCGCCTTAAAAACCGCGGTTGGGCGGAGACGCGTTACCTGAGCTCCGGGTAGGCCGCTGCTCTTCTGACGTCTCGATGCCTGCTCCAATCAAGTTCATGATCTTCTCAATCTGTTGAAGAGAACAAGCAGAAAGCACCCGAAACAATGTCAATTTACGAAAGGCAGTTATGAAAAAGAGGGGCCGGCACCGGGGGGGGGGGGTGGGTGAGCACAAAGAGCCGCCGGGCGCGCCGGGGAGGAGGCGGGCCGCTTTGCAACGATGGATCACGACGATCCGACGACTCGCTCAGCAGAAACACGGCGAGGCCGTGAGGTGAATCGCAATCGAGGAGCTTCAGAAATTCAGAATTATCGAGGCCCCCGTGGCGGCCGTCCAGTCGCCGGGTCCACGGCGCACGAACCGACCCTGCGGAGGATTCGGATGTGTTGCCGACTGTTTCTTTGTGAGTGTTTGATTGCCCTCTCAGACCTGTATTATTCAAGCTGCACAGGAGACGGCGAGGTTAAGCGCGCACAATGTGGTATGTAGGAGATTACAGAGAAGAGTTGTTTAGGGGTTTAGAGCCCAAACATGTTTATTTAAGTAGTCTCTGGCTTTCCAGGAGAGAGATATTACATTTGCAGGTGGTTTGCTTCTGTTTATTTACTGCGTGACTAAACAGTAACCCGAGACGTGTCGTTCGATGCTGGACGCAGCCGCTCGTACAAAGACAACAAATGGGCTTTGCTCATTTCTTGATCCAGAGACAATCTAACTATCTGCAGAGATGCGGCTCGCTAATCAACACTTAACATCTGTATATCATCTGATCAATGCGGACAAAAGGCCCATTTGTCCTTCCCAAACAGCAACGGGAATGAGCAGCAGCGTGAGAGCTGAGTAAGACGGGACCACTTAGAACAGGTGTGAGATGAGCTGTTCCCCTTTTCCCTCTTGTTAAACATTACAATACAAGGATTTCATTGGGCTCCACTGGAACACACATTTTAAAGTACCCAAACCCATATTCCTTCCATATAACAGTGTTCATGATTCACGATGTCCCACCCAGGACAAAGAGATTGGGACTCATAGAAACGCACC